CCATAACCCCTCCGTTTTTACCTCTTTCACAAGGGAACTGCTACCGTTTCAACGGAAGTAAGCTTCCTGTGGCTGTAAAAGGACATTGACAAACAACTTTGAGTAGATAATTTTCAAGGAGCTTTTCAGCTTTAAAATTCTGTAGTGGCCAATTCTTGATAAATTGAGGTAGTGTATTAGTGACTCAGCTTTATGAGATTGGCAATATTTTCAGCAGCAGGCCTGAGCTAGAAAATGGTAGCCCATGGCCACAAGGATACATAAAATGCGAGCATGTGTGTCTGAGAGGTGTGTGTGTGTTTGTTTATTAGGCCTCTGTCCACCTATTTGCAGGGCTGTGTGTATCTGAGGATGTGTCACTGCCTGTCGGGTCGTTCTTCCATTTTCTCTCGCTCTCCAATCTTACCCATTCCTGCCGCATTTCATCAAGCTTCTGCTCGTAGCTAGCTGTCGATAATGAACGCAACTCAAATAACTTAGGGAGTCATGACTGATATCCAACCAATTTTAAATATATACATACATATATATTCTTTTGGTTAAGTGAGGCAATTTATATTAACTAACATATTTATTGCCATGCTCCTCAGCCAACTATGCCCAAGTCTAGCACTGAAACCCTGAACTGCATTTTATATTTATTTTTCATTTCCTCCAACATCTTGTCATGAAAATTTTAAGCACACAGTAAAGCGGAAAGAACTCTACAGTGAGCATGCGTCCCACCACGTAGATTCTAGTATGAACATTTTACCCTATCTGTTGTATCACATGCCTATCCATCTTTCTATACTTCTATCCACCCTCAACCCATCTAATATTTTGAAGCATTTTACAGTAAATTGTATACGTCAATACACGTCCATCTAAATATTTTAGTGTGCATATTACTAAGAGTCCCATATTTATTTAGTTCTGCATGTAGAATTTCCAGAGAATGAAATGCACACATCTTAAGTGTATGTTCTCTGAGGTTTGAAAGGGGCTTAGCCCTGTGCAACACAAACCCCATCAACATATAGAATGTGGTCGTCACCCCAGAACACCCCTTCATGCACCTTCCCAGTCACTCCCAAGGCCTACCTACCTCAGGGGCACTGCTGCTCTGAATTTCCCCATCATACATTAATTTTACCTGTTCTGGCACTTCCTTTAAAGGACTTAAAGAGAATGTACTTGTTTGTGTAAAGCTTCTTTGACTAACAATGATGCTTTAGAGATTCATTCGAGTTCTTGCTTGTATCTTGCTTGTATTGACTCTTTTTATTGGTTAGTAGTATTCCATTCTGTGAGTATACCATGGTTGTATTTCTTTCTCTTTTTTTAAGTATACTTTATTGGTTATGCTAGTACAGTTGTCCCATATTTTTCTCTCCTCTCTCCCCCTCTGCCCTGTAGCCCCCCTCCCGCCAGCGTTCCCCCCCTACCTTAGTTCATGTCCATGGGTTATATATATAAGTTCTTTGGCTTCTCCATTTCCTCTAGTATTCTTAACCTCCCCCTACCTATTTTGAACCTACAAATTATGCTTCTTATTCCCTGTACATTTTCCCTTATTCTCCCTGTCCTGCTCCCCTCTGATCTCCATTTCTGTGATTCTGTTCCTGTTCTAATAGTTTGCTTAGTTTGTTTTTGTTTTCATTTTCTTTAGGTTCCATTGTTGATGGTTGTGAGTTTGTTGTCATTTTACTGTTCATAGTTTTGATTTTCTTCTTTTTCTTAGATAAGTCTCTTTAACATTTCGTATAATATGGGTGTGCTGATGAACTCCTTTAACTTGACCTTATCAGGGAAGCACTTTATCTGCCCTTCCATTCTAAGTGATAGCTTTGCCAAATAGAGTAATCTTGGATGTAGGTCTTTGCCTTTCATGACATTGAATACTTCTTTCCAGCCCCTTCTTGCCTGCAAGTTTTCTTTTGAGAAATCAGCTAATAGTCTTATGGGAGCTCCTTTGTAGGGAATGCTCTCGTTTTCTCTTGCTGCTTTTAAGATTCTCTCCTTATCTTTAACCTTGGATAATTTAATTATGATGTGCTTTGGTGTGTTCCTCCTTAGATCCAGTTTCTTTGGGACTCTCTGAGCTTCCTGGACTTCCTGGAAGTCTACTTTCTTTGCCAGACTGGGGAAGTTCTTCATTATTTTTTCAAATAAGTTTTCAATTTCTTGCTCTTCCTCTTCTTCTTCTGACACCCCTATGATACGGACACTGGAATGTTTAAAGTTGTCCCAGAGGTTCCTTAGCCTCTCCTTGTTGTTCTGAATTCTTGTTTCTCCATTATGTTCAGGTCAAATGTTTATTTCTGCCCTCTGTTCCAAATCATTGATCTGAGTTCTGGTTTCCTTCCCTTCACTATTGGTTCCCTGTGTATTTTACTTTATTTCACTTTTTATAGCCTTCACTTCTTCCTCTATTTTGTGCCTGTCCTCAATCATTTCTGTGAGCATCCTGATTACCAGTGTTTTGAACTCTGCATCTGATAGGTTGGCTATCTCCTCGTAGCTCAGTTCTTTTTCTGGAGTTTTGATCTGATCTTTCATTTGGGCCATATTTCTTTATGTTGGTACACCTGTTACATTGTAAGGGGTGGAGCCTTTGGTATTTGCCAGGACAGGGCAACTGCTTCCCTTCATTGTGGTGCTGTATGTGGGGGAGGGATCAGAGAGGGAACAATGTCACTTGCCCAGCTCTCACCCCACTTTCAGTCACTTCCCCCACTACTCACAAGCAAATTGGGCCCTTCTGGTACTGATTCCTGGGTGGGTGGGTGGGTGGGTGTGAGTACATCTTAGGATCCCCGTGGGTCTTTCCAGTGAACTGTCCTGTGGGACTGACAGTTTCTCTTGCCGCCGCAACCCCCACAGGATTTTACAGCCAGAGGTTCTGAGGCTTTATTCTCCATGCTGGAACCCTGGGTTGTGTGGTATGTCTCATACCCCAGTTGTTCCTCCTGGTTTATACGCATGCAAATGTGGGATTTCCCCCATCCACTGCCACCTTGCCACATGTCCTTTCTGCCCTGGCTGCCCATCTCCACCCCTCCTACCAGTGTGAATGAATGTTTCTTCTTTAACACCTTGGTAGCCAGACTTCCCATACAGTTTGATTTTCTGACAGTTCTGGTTGTTTTTGTGTTTTTAAATTTATTGTCCTTCTTTTGGTTGTGCGAGGAAGCAAAGTGTATCTACCTATACTTCCATCTTAGCTGGAAGTCTCCCTTTTTAAAATGTCTGTTTTATTAATAGACATCCAGACTGTTTTCACTTTTATTATGAAAACTGGTGCTTATCTTAGCTCTGTTCCTCGGGAACTTGGTGGCCTGTTATCTGAGGCCCTGGGCTATTGAGCATTTAGATATAAGTCCTTTCCTAGGTACTGCTCAATGTCTTCCTGTCGGTGCTTCCCAATTCTTGTTCCTGTCAGCCTGGTTATGTCCCAGGACACCAGGGTATCCTGTCTGAGTGCCCCGGTTGATAGAAACTACTGATAGCTGAGCAGAGATGTGCAAATAGGGACAAATGCAAATGCAGCTACAGATCAGTGACTGGCTGGGTTAGTAGGAAGACTGTGGTGACCCTGAAAAGATGCCTTCCCTCTTTGGTAACCCAGAACTGTGCCAGACATAGACATCATAGATGTTTAGCAAGTATTTATTGAATGAATGTATACATGAGCAAATGAAGGAACAAATGAACAAACAAATGGTCAGGTGAATGAATTTATAGGCTGCGACAGGAGACTTAGACATGGGGTCTGGCTGGAAGAGCAGATGCAGTCAGTGCGTGCTGCAGACAGGGTGTCTGGAGGAGAGAAACAACTTATGGGACCCTGTGATGACAGCCACAGTATGAGCACTCAGCAGTCACTTTGTCTTTATCTTGAACAGCATTCAGGTACCACTGGTAAATTCTGGAGAGTGAGACCACCCGATTTCTTATATGTGAATTATTAGGCCTGTGTATGAGTCTGCTAGGGCTACCATAACAATATACCACAGACTGGGCACTTAAACAACAGACGTTTATTTCTCACAATTATGGAGGCGTGGAAGTCCTAGATCAGAGTGTCGCCAGGATTGGTGTCTGGTGAAGCCTTCTCCCCTTGGGTGTAGACAGCTGCCTTCTCATTGTCCACTCATAGGGCCTTCCGTCAGTGCAGGCAGGTGAAGAGGGTGTGTGCACAAGCTCTCTGGTGTCTCTTCTTATGAAGACACTATAGCTATAAGATCAGGGTCTTATGATTCATTTAAGATTAATTACCTCTAAAACACCCTATCTCCAAATGCCGTCACACTGGAGATGAGAGCTTTAACATATGAATTTCAGAGGTGACACAATTCAGTACAAAGCAGTATGGTTCTACCTAGAGACTTGTACATCAGCACGGAGCCAGGTGTTCCAAGTGCTTGTTGGGAATTGAGCTCGGCAGCTGCACCAGGACTTCTGCATTTCCCACAGTGGGAACCCTCGGCTGCTGAGCTGGTGGTCGGAATGTGATAATGCTGCTAGAACATTACTTCTATAGCACTTTGCAGAGTGCATTCACGTACACAGTCTAATTTCACCTACCAGCAAGTCTTTGAGGTAGGTATTATTGTACCCATTTTATGGGTGAGAAAATCGAAGCACAAGAAGTTAAGTGTCTGGCCCAGAGCCCCAAAGTCTATCAGTAGTGAACCAGATCTCCACTCCAGCTCTTGTACCAGTGCTCAGGTCTTCTCTCTAAAGGCACTCAGGGATTTCCTTGCCACTCCTAGACTTTCAGTTTTCAAGGTGTATTCAGGAGATGTTAAAAAGTTTGCTGTCTAGAAGATGCAGCAGCTAGGCCTGACGCATTGCATATATGCTAGAGGTGGCCTCATAAGCAAAAACAGGTAACAGTGTTCCTAATGGAGGAACTGACCTAGTGGACAGAAACACCTGCCTGAGTCTAATTACCTGATGATCTGTGCCTCCTTTCTAAAGTGCTGAAATTAATCCTGTCATATTGGGTTGGTCAGTACAACAGGGTTTGGATTCCTGACCCTGAAGAAGTTTGGAAATCTGCAGAAATAGCAAAGGACTACAGAGCTGGGGACAGAGTCCTGCAACTCCTGCTGGAGGATGGAACGGTGAGTCCTTACTGGCTGTAGCTGCCATGAGGTATAAGGGGTAACTGGGGTGTGTGGGGGCGGGGGCAGATGGTCCCTGTGGGAGCAGTCAGCGGAGGGCACCTGAGGGCACACACCCAAAAGGGCCAGCTGGTGCTCTGGATGCACTCGTGTTGGTGCCACTCCCCCTTCTCTCCCCACCCGCCCTGCTCCCATCCCGCACTGACCAGCTGAAGGCAGAAAGCGCCCTACCTCAGCTGGGCCTCTCCCTGTAACGAGATGCAGCGGACAGGTCTGTGCCTTATGCGGCATTTCCGGGGATTCAGCATTGTTGGGAGAATCCTGGAAGATGATTAACCGTTTTGGTTCCCTACACCTCAACCCAGAGACTGGGCAAAGAGGAGAAACTTGGAGGGAAGTAGTTTGGGCCCAAGGCATACACTGGCGAAGAACAACATCAAGATGGGAAGAGGAAAGGAAACAGAGGAGGGAGACATAAAATAGAAAGGGAGAGGGAGGTGTGAGAGAACAGAGGGAAAGCGAGTCAGGCTGTGGATGGATAGAAACACATAAGAGCTGGGACCTCCAGGAGGGACCATGACAAGGTTATTAGGGAAGTGACAAGAGATGGGATAAGAGGACAGGAATGTCCAGCTTTGTGTGACATTATGAGGGGCCTCTGTGAGCCTGGAATTCTGCTGCCTAGAAAATGAAGCAGTTAGGCCTGATGCATTGCAGATACACTAGAAATTGCCTCATAAGCAACAATTAGGTAAAAGTATTTCTAACGAGGAACTGGCCTAGTGGACAGAAACAAAGCTTCCCAAAGGCTGATCAGAAAGATCAGCAATTGTTCCGTGGTAGAGTGCCTTGGTGAGGAGTTCCCCTCAAAGGCTGGTTATGTCTTTTGATGAACAGCTTCCACAGATTTTGTCTTTGCTTTAATTATCCATCATGAGTCGTCCTATGCCTCCCCTAGTGCTAATGACATCCTACTGGATCCACAGCTAAGGGGGCCTTGCCTTCTTAGAATCAAGTATTTGGATATGGAGCTGGACAGAAGATTCCTGATTCATCTGGATGCCAGAGCTGGTCTGGGGAATATCAAATGAATATTAAAATACTGGAATTTCCAGCCCTGGCTGGTGTGGCTCAGTGGATTGAGTGCTGGCCTGTGAACCAAAGGGTCACCGGTTCTGTTCCCAGTCTGGGGCACCTTCCTGGGTTGCGCTACAGGCAACCACACGTTCATGTTTCTCTCCCTCTCTTTCTCCCTCCCTTCCCCTCTCTAAAAATAAATAAATAAAATATTTTTAAAAAATAAATAAGTAAAAATTAAATGTTGGAATTTCCAAAGCATGCAAATGGCCTCTGTGGAGACAGGACACTGTGTCTGCAAAGAATATCCTGGATTTGGGAGTCATTTCCTGAGATACCAAAAGGAAGATGAATATAGAGGTGAAGGGCGCATCCTCTAGAATCAGAATACCTGGATTCAGTCCTGCCACCGCTACTCGCTCACCTGTGACAAAGAGCCCCTTCGTCTCCTCTTATGTAAAGTGGAGTTAATATCAGCACAGTCCCTCACAGGGAGGGTTGCTGAAGATCAGACAAGATGACCCAGGTGTGCGCGTGCAAATACAAGAGATGGAGCGAGAGGAGGAGGTTGTGTCTCCATTCGGCCTTCCCCTTCCCGCCCGAAACTCCTTGCAGCACGTGTTGAGGACCTCCTGTGCACAGTCAAGGTTCTGACTAGGGGTCAAGTGGCTCTGGGAGAAAAATCTCGGGCAGCAGCTGCAGTGGCCGTGCGCTGCTTTAGGGACATCAGCAGGGCTTCAGGAGGCAGCGTTCCTGGCCCTAATCCAGCTGCCCAGAGGAGGCGGGGAGGGGCGGGTAAGATGGCAGGCAGCCAGGCTGCTCCGAAACTCGACTGTTTGTCTCTACGCTGAAGGACAAAGCCGGCTTCGTGCCGGAAAACGGCATCTCTGCCTCCCACTGTCAATCTGATGTTCTTCACATTCTCTTCCCCTCCCCCAGACTGTCTGTTCTGTTTGTCTTTCTCTTTCCCTCTGTTTCCTTCATGCATCTCACACACACACGCACACACACACACACACACACACAGAGGCTGAAAAAGGAGGCTGTTGATTAATTTTTATTTACTTTATCTGACAGAGGACTTTATTCACAACATTTATGAACTTTGAATCTATATGTTAAAAAAAAAAACAAAAACCCTGGGAAGAAGCTGTTAATTTAAAACAGGAAACAGGAAACCTCAGAATAAAAGTGTGTAGATGAAGAATATTCTGGTTGGGGCAAGTCCACAAATCTAATTGCATTGACAATGGAATAGGCCGCTGCTATAAGGGTTCATGTCCATTGTCCTGGGTTAGCCCGAGCTGCTCTCCTTACACAAAACAGACCTCCCAGCATTGACAGGAGGCGTCCCGATGCAGGCTCCAGAGTCGGCCAGACCCGTAGGAACTCTGGGGCCTTGGGTGAGGAGCTTAGCCTTTCTGAACCTGTCTCCTTAACTGTTCATCAGGGAAGTTGTGCCCTCCTTGGCAGGCAGTTTTGAGGATTAAATGATGTAACCAGTGCTGAGTGCTTGACATAGGATCTACACAGTGGGCACTTGCTAAGGGGCAGCTGAGGCACCTTGAGCTGGTCCAGGACCAGGTATCGAAAGGAAGGCAGCCTGGGAAGGTGGAAAGGAAACAAGCTTGCTGGGTGACCGCGTTCAAGTCACTTCCCCAGGCTGTGAACTGGAAGTGAAGGAGGTTAGAACAGGTGGCCATAAAGTCCCTTGATGCTCTGACATTAGGAAGGCCGAGTTGCCTGTAGTACGGACAGCGCAAGGCATGCTAACCTGGCCTTCATTCTGCTTGGGCAGCTCTTGTAGAAACACTAGGTGAAGTTCAGCAGGAGAGAGGCCAGGATGGGCATTACTCAGCCCAGGCTGTGGATGACGGGCAAGGGCAGCCCTGCCGGGGCAGCCGTGAGCCTTGCAGAGACCACCACCCCCGACAACCCCCTCAGACACTTCTCACCACGAAGCATGTCAACTTCAGCAGAGACTCGACAGCCTTAGAGCTGCAAGGGATCTTAGGTGATCATGTCATTTTAGCAGCAGAATTATGTTTTCAAACCAAAACTACCACAGCACCCGACATCTAAACCACATACCAATGGAGCCCCAGTGGTAGGATCAGGGACCGAGTGCCTGACCTAGTCCAGTGTTTTCACAGATGAGAGAAGAGCGGCCCAGCGAGGGTGAGTAACTCGTCCCAGGGCGCACAGCTAATACCCTAGTCCCCGGCTCCCACTTTTTAAAAGTCAGCCATGAAGACAGATTTCTCATTGCTCTACATAAGTGTGGTTTTCCGAGTGAGTGTCAGGGATCACTCTGAAGGGAGGTAGATAGAAGAGAGACAGTGAGCCAGCAGAAACACCAAAAAAAAATCTTTGTTTTTATCTTTGTCCACAGCAGCTGGATTATCCCATCGATCCCGAATCTCTGCCCCCACTCCGCAACCCCGACATCCTCGTGGGCGAGAACGACCTCACGGCCCTCAGCTACCTGCACGAGCCCGCCGTGCTCCACAACCTCCGAGTGCGCTTTGCAGAATCCAAACTCATTTACACCTACAGTGGTAAGGCGGGCGTTTCTAGGAGAGCGGGAATGGCGCTGAGACTGGGTGCTTGTTGCCTGGAGCATCCAGCTTAAACGTTTTATATTACGTTTGTACTAGAAATGTTGACTTCTGTCAAAACGTGTAATCACACTTAAACATTTGCCCAAACTTCTATCTAAAAGGTACAGACATTTGATCTTAGAGAGTTAGTTAGAAAAAGAAGTGTCTAAGTGAGGAGAATTTTCAACAAGAGCTAAAATTGAACTACCAAGAAAAATATATGTGGATCAAGCTTGGATTTGAGTTTCTCGTCGGGTTTGTCAAATTTGGGGCAATGATATTGTCATCACATTTACATTGAGGATTGCCAAAGCCTCTCAGTTTTAGGGCATTCTCGCCTGTCATCTCATCGAATCATCTCGGAGTAGCCCAGACATGTAGATGGCATCGGAGAACTGGGGCAGAGCACTAATGACCTGCCCAAAGTCACACAGAAGGTTTAATAAGTGGCAGAGCTGGGGTTTGCCAAAAGAGCCTGGAGCAATGGGTGACAGTAAGAATCCCATCACCTCATCTAACATCTTTTCTCAGGAATCATTTTGGTGGCCATGAATCCTTACAAGCAGTTGCCAATATACGGAGATGCCATCATCCATGCCTACAGCGGGCAGAACATGGGCGATATGGACCCGCACATCTTTGCCGTGGCCGAAGAGGCATACAAGCAGATGGCCAGGTAGCCTCCTGCCGGGCGGGCCTTCCCCTGGCTCTGCTAATGCTCCTGTGTTTGCTAGGTCCTGGCCGTGGAGGGGAGGCATCTGGCTTGGTCTAATTAAATGCGACTGTCAGACCGTAGAGCAGACTACCTGTACTGAATAACAAGTGTAACTCACTAAATGTGTAACTCACCTGTTTAAACTGAGTTTAAACTGGGTTTTGTTCCTTCCAGGTGGTTAAAATTTGGTCCTCCAAATCCAGGAGTAGCAGGTGCTTCTCTTGCAGGGTGGAGTATTGATTTATTGTCCACTGTGAGATGTTTAAACTTTTTTACCCATCCTGGGCAGCAGAGTCTAATGGTAGAGGACCACAGGTTTCAGCTGTAGATTTGGGGTTTTATCCTAATTTTGCCACTTTTTTTTGTACAGCCCTGTGGAGTTCCTTGTTTTGCTAGCAAACATTTATTAAAAGCCTCCTGTGGACCAATTACCATGCACACATTCCTGTGCATCACCTTGGGTGCTCTCAGAATAGCCTGGGATGAAAATGCCTGGGCAGTGAACTGAATCGGGAGTCGTCCGCCCAAGGTCAACCGGCATGGAAAAGCCTGGGATTTGCGCTCCGATTTTTTGATGCCACATGTAATTTCTTTTTCCCATAACCATCCTCTTTTGGCTTCAGTGTCCTCTTCTGTAATGCATGAAGAATATAAACACCACCTTATTTGTTACAGTTTATAAAAGAAGTTTCATGGCCAGTGGTCTTTGGCCCTCCAACACTCCAGTGAAGTCAGCTGAGCTACCATCATCACCCTCATTTCACAGATGAAAACCTGAAGTAGAGACCTGGGCTTGCTCATTATTTACTACATAACCTTGGGCACAGCGCCTGATCTCCCTCAGCTCCAGGGTCCTCATCTGTGAACTGGATGCTCAGCAAGCACCCGTTCCAAGCTCCATTGCTTGTAATCAGGAAAAAACAGTGGCCTAAGCGAAATAGAAGTGTGTGGTTCTCTCCTGCGGAGGCATCTGATGGGCAGGCCAGGGCTAGCACGGCACCTCCACCGAGCTGTCAGGGACCCGGTGCCTTGCAGCGGCCCTGTCCCTGGGGTGGAACTCTCATCCTCAGGGCTGAGCTGACACTTAGCTATTTCCTCTATATGCTAAGTGACAGAGTGTCCCAGGGGAAGATTGGGCCCCTCCCCGTTAAGGAGACTTTCCAGAAGCCCTGCAAAGCACTTCTGATCACAGCTCATTGGCTAAGACCCACTTACCTGGCCCTGCCTAGCCACAAGGGAAGCTGGGATATGTAGTTTTTCATATAGACAGCACTGTGCCCACTAGAAATTGGGGCATAGTCCCTAGGAAGAAAGATGAGAATGAATGCTAGATAGAAAATTACCAATTAAAAACAAATTACCTTGGTTTCTGCCACAGCAAGTTTCCTTCCAGCCCCGAAAAACCTGTGGTTCTAGGATTTGCCCTGCTTCATCTTCAAGATGAGAGTGCCTGGCTCAGAGCCCAAGAGGCAGGGCTGCTCCTGGGCATCCGCAGTATGAGCTACTGGGAGCTGCGGGGTGAGCCAGGCTCCAGCTTGAAAAACCAGTTTTCTCCAGAGGTCTGTCTGTCTGACTGGCGTAGGAGCACGAACACAAGATGCACTCATGTGGGACTCGCTGAGACTAGACTGGGTCCGGAGAGCCCAGCCTTAATAACCGCAGCCCCCTTCTACCGGCCGAGGGACACTGAGGGTGGCATTCACCTGAGTCTTAGCTCCCTCTTTTGAACTAGGAGCTCCACCTCTCAGGCTCCCCCAAGGTGTTCACAGGGGAGGCTGCGCGCGCTGAGCCCTGGGTCGTCACTTCACCTCTGTGGGTCACTATTGTACTCATCTGTAAAATGGATGTAAGTGGTCTAGGATTTTGTGAGGCTTAAATGAGAATCCCTGTATTCATGGAGCCCCTGACACATAAGCCATGCTAGGTACATAAAATGGCATTACATTAAGGTTCTACCATCATCATCTTATGACATGAAAAGTTTAATGCATTTTTTTAAGATCTCTAAATTATGTAACAGAACCTTTTGGCTTGCAGAACACTTCTGTTCCCAAGCATACGTTGAATCATTGCTCTCCAAGTTATGTCTTTAAAATGTTTTTATTCACTATATTTAAGTGGGAATATGCAGAAAGGAGTTAACATAGGCTTGAGACTGCTTTCACTAGAGGCCTGTTTGCAAAAATGTCCAGGCTGGCCTCTGGGAACTTGGATTTCAGGAAGGTTCTCACCGCTTCCTAATTGATAAGAGTGGCTCATTGCACCTAAGCTTAAACTGTTTGTGTAAACAGTGTGGTTCATGCCGAACATCTGCTTTCCCCTGGGCACCTGGAATTTTGGTGTCTGTTGGGGGGTGCCTGTGTGACCAGCCCCCAGGTGCTGAGTCTCTAATGAGCTTCCCAGGTAGACAGCATTTCCCACATGTTGTCGCAGTTCATTGCTGGAAGAATTAAATGTGTCCTCCACTGGGAGGGGACTCCTGGACATTGACGCCTGGCTTCCTCTGGACGTGACGCTGTGTGCATTTTCCCTTCACTGACTTACTTTTTATCATTTTGGTGTAATAAATTTTATCCGTGAGTACGACTAAATGCTGAGTCCTGTGAGTCCTAGTGGATCATTGAACCTGGAATTGGTCTTGGGGACTCTCAACATAGGAGACATAGCAGGAAACAAAAATTGTGTGTTTAACATGGCCACATGGGAAAAAAGACTAGAAGGAAATTCACTGGAATGTTGAAAACAGTTACTTTAGAGTGATGAGACTAAATGTCCCTCCCTGCTTGCCTGCGTTTTTCCTTAATGAGTAGCTACTGCCTTTTTAATAAGAAGAAATGAATGTTTTTAAAATTCTCTCATTTGTTTGCTTTAGAAACAATAAAAATCAGTCAATAATTGTAAGCGGGGAGTCAGGTGCCGGAAAGACCGTGTCTGCTCGGTATGCCATGAGGTACTTCGCCACCGTCAGCAAGTCGAACAGTAACGCCCACGTGGAAGACAAGGTTCTGGCATCTAACCCCATAACTGAGGTGTGTAGCCGGGGGTGGGGTGGGAAGCAGGCGTGGAGGCGGGGCGTGTGCTGATGGAGAGACGGGTTGGTTTGCCTATGTGTTGTCCTGGCTAACCACAGCTCCCCCACCCATCAAAGACCAAAGTGAGCGTGGGGTCTGAGGGAGGCAGGGCCAGAGCTTGCTGCTTCTGAGTCTCTCCTCCGCCTGCTGGGCTAGAAATCCTGCCATCCGATTTCAGGAGTCCCCTGTTCACATTTATATCCCAGGGGAAAGTTCCTCAACAACAGACACCAGAGCACTGGGGCCAGTGGAGCTCTCCAGCCAGCAGGCACCAGCATTCCTGAGCTGATGCTTAAATACTCAGGGATTTTGTTGTGAGCTATTGTTAAACCTATGGTAGTTTGAGATCAGTCATGGTGGGAGTATCTACACCTTAAAAATTGGCAAATACCATATATCAAGGCTCTTCCTCCTCCCCTTTAATGGATTCATCAGCAGAACCTGGATGGTCAGAGGGGTGGGCAGGGCCAGCCATGAGAGCACCCAGGGATAAGGACATAGTTCTCTTAGAAGAAGGGGCATCTGAAAGGCTCAGGCGAAGGCCCAAAGGCCAGCTCTGGCTGCCTTGCAAAATGGGAAGAGGATCAGTTTGGATTTATTTGGAAATAGAGCAAGTAATTAAGAACATTAGCTTTCTAGACCTCTCCTCTCCGTTTTCTCCTCAATGAATATTTATCAGACCGCCACCTATTTTGTTTATGCCTCTGTGCCAGATAATATGGGATGTCATGAAATAGAATAAGGCCCAGTCCCCAAGTTGTAAGACTCCTCTAACATAAGCATGTTTTCAAGTTAAATAGAAACATAAATCTCAGTGCAAGATAGCAATAGAAAAGTCAAGAAGCACTGCCTACTTCAATGCCCCATGGGTAATTTTGTGTGGATATTTGTTCAGGGTTGGCCTTGCCCATTAGACTATAAGCTCCATGAAGTCAGGACTATGTCTTCTTGGTTCACCTTTGTCTGCCGAGCATGTGGCCCATAGCAGGGGCTCCATTATATATGTTGTAAAGTATGATGACCTAGGCAGGAAGTACAGTACACATGCAGAAACAGTACCCTGAACATAAGGGGCGCCCACAGAGGGAGACAGAAGAACTGGAATTCAAGAATAGACGTGAAAAGCTAAAGTCATGCTCAGAGTGTAAGGCGGATGTGAGAAGGCAGGTTTTTTCTTGAGCCGAAATTTTGAACCGGGAAGCGGTAAGGGCTGAGGATAGAAATAAATGATGAATGAAGGATGTGGACTTTTACTCGAGCATTTATAATATTTGGGGCCTGGATGAGTTCAGGCACTTTGTATTAGTTTCCTGCCAATTCTGTACGATACTTATTTTTCCCATATTACAGAGAAAGATGAAATAACGTATCTAGCATTACCCAGGTAGTAAAAAAGGAATCCAGGGCCCTAAAACATCAGAACCTGCACTTGTTCTGGTTCTGCTCAGTGTCTCCCAGCAAGACTGAGGAGAGCCTTGAATGGCAGGCTAAGGGCGCCTTGTGCCCCCTGCAAGCCTTGGGCTTCTTGCCCCGCACCCCTGACTCCCTCTGCTAATCAGACCTCCTCCCAACATACAGGATTAGATTTTACTAAAACTGTTCCAATAATGTTAATGTTCATGCAAAGATCTTTTTAATGTGGTTATTTCAAGAGAATCCTGTGCTTTATAGGCTGTTGGGAATGCCAAGACCACCCGCAATGATAACAGCAGTCGATTTGGGAAATACACAGAAATCAGTTTTGATGAAAGAAATCAAATTATAGGCGCCAACATGAGAACCTACCTGCTGGAGAAATCCAGAGTTGTCTTTCAAGTAAGGATAAAAATATTAAATTTCCTTTTTCCTAAATTTTCAAGTATTGTTCCCATTCATATACATGTTAGACACCTATATTTCTCTGTGACTTGAATATATTTCTATCTTTCATTTGCAGTTTGGTTTATTTTTTTGTTCCTTAAAAAAATTTTATTTAATTAAAAAATTTATTTGGATAACATTGGCTAATACCATTATATAAATTTCAGGTGTGCAATATTATAATATGACATCTATATACTATATTGTGTGCTTATCACCTGAAGTCTAGTCTGTCACCATATATTTGACCCCTTTGCCATCTTCCTCCCCCCCAACCCCCTTTCTCTCTGGTGACTACCATTCTGTTGTCTGTATCTATGAGTTTGGCTTCTGGTTTATTTGGATATTTGTTTTGTTTGTTCATTTGTTGCTTTTTGTTTTATATCCCATATATGATTGAAATAATGTTTTCTTATCCTTTTCCATCAGACTTATTTCACTTACAATACTCTCAGGATCCATTCACGCTGTTGCAAATGGCAACATTTCATCCTTTTTATGGCTGAGTAGTATTCCATTGTATATATGTACTATATATTCTTCTTTAAAGTATATTTTATTGATTATGCTTTTACAGTTGTCCCATAGGTTTTTTGCCTTTGCCCCTCTCCGGCTGGTATGCTCATTCCCTCCAGCAATATCCTTTCCCCTTAGTTCATGTCCATGGATCATACATGTAAGTTCTTTGGCTTCTCCATTTCCCATACTATTCCTAACCCCACGCCCCACCCCGGTCTATTTTGTACCTACTATTTATACTTCTTATTCCCTGTACCTTTTCCTCTCTTTTCCCCCTGCCCCTCCCCACTTATAATACTCCATGTGATCTCCATTTCTGTGATTCTGTTCCTATTCTAGTTGTTTGCTTAGTTTGTTTCTGTTTTTGTTTTTGTTTTTAGGTTCATTTCTTGATGGTTGTGAGTCTGTTGTCAGTTTACTGTTCATGGTTTTGATCTTCTTTTTCTCAGATGCGTCCCTTTAACATTTCATATAATAAGGGCTTGGTGACAATGAACTCCTTTAAATTTACGTTATCTGAGAAGCACTTCCTCTCCCTAAATGATAGCTTTGCTGGATAGAGTAATCTTGGATATAGGTTCCTTTTTTTCATGACTTTGAATACTTCTTGCCAGCCCCTTCTTGCCTGCAAGGTTTCTTGCTGATAGTCTTATGGGAACTCCTTTGTAGGTTATGGTTTCCTTTTCTCTTGCTGCTTTTAAGATTCTCTCTTTATCTTTAACCTTTGGCATTTTAATTATGCTATGTCTTGATGTGGCCTACTTTGAGTCCAACTTGTTTGGGACTCTCTGAGCTTCCTGAACTTGCATGTGTATTTCCTTCACCAAACTGGGGAAGTTTTCTTTCATTATTTTTTCAAATAAGTTTTCAATTTCTTGTTATTCCTCTTCTTCTTCTGACATCCCTATGATTCCGATGTTGAAATGTTTTAAGTTTTCCCAGAAATTCCCCAACCTCTCCTCATTTTTTTGAATTCTTGTTTCTTTTTTCTGTTCCGAGTGAATATTTATTCCTTCCTTCTGTTCCAAATCACTGATTTGAATCCTAGCTTTCTTTCCCTCAACTTTCAGTTCCTTGTCTATTTTTCTTTATTTCAATTTGTATAGCCTCCATTTTTCCCTTTATTTTTGCGGCTGTCCTCAATCATTTCTGTGAACATCCTGATCACCAGTGTTTTGATCTCTGCATCTTGTAGGTTGGGTACTTCCATGTCACTTAGTTCTTTTTCTGGAGTTTTGTTCTGTTCTTTCATTTGGGTCACCTTTCTTTGTCTCCCCTATTTTGCAGCCTCCCTGTGTTTCTGCATATCAGACTCCACGGGTCAGCGCACCTGTTATGTTGTAAGAGGCAGAGCCTTAGGCATTCACTGGGGCAGGGGGATAAGCTTCACCTCTTCATGGTGCTGTATGTGTAGGAGGGGTCAGAGAGGGAACAATGCTGCTTGCTGAGCTCTTGTCCCATTTCAGTCACTTTCCTCATTTCCTGAATGCGACAGGTGCCCCTCTAGCTGCTGCCCTGGTGCTGATTCCCCAGGTGGGTTGGTTTGTGTACATTCTAGGGCCTGTGGGCCCTTTACATGGACTCTCCTGAGAGACTGGCAGTTTCTTCCAGTGTCCCAAACCCTGGTGGCTTTTACAGTCAGAGGTTATGAGACTTTATTTTCCTGGCGCTGGAGCCGTGGGGTGTGTGGTCTGATGTGGGGCTGGGATTGCTTGCTCCCTAGTTGTCCCTTCTGGTTTTTATCTGCCGCATGTGAATGTGGGACCGCCCATTCTGCTGGCTGCTGCTGCCGCCAACACCACCTCACTGTGCATCCTCTCTACCCTGTCTCCACCCCTCCCACCCATCTCAGTGAATGTTTCTTCTTTAACTCCTTGGTTGTCAGACTTCCATACAGTTCTATTTTTCTGGCAGTTCTGGTTGTTATTTGTTTTTAGATTGGTTGTTATCCTTCTTGTTGCACGAGGAGGTGAAGTGTGTCTACCTATGCCTCCATCTTGGCCAGAAGTTTCTATGTTCTATATTTTCTTTATCTCATCTTCAACTGAAGAACACTTTGGTTATTACCATGTCTTAGCTATTGTAAATAATGCTGCAATGAACATAGAGGTACATAGATCTTTTTTTAATTACTGTTTACATGCAATATTATTTTGTATTAGTTTCAGGTGTGCAGCATCATATGCTTTACAATCATATGCTTTACAAAGTGATCTCCCCAATATTTCCAGTACATACCTGGCACCATATTACAATATGATTGCATAAATATCTACTAATAAAGTATTTTCAAATGTTTTGGGTAGATACCCAGAAGAGGCATTGCTGGGTCATTTGGCAATTCTATTTTTAATTTTTTGAGGAACACCCATGGCCACAAAAATGATGGATAGATGCAATATCAGTGGAGCTATATGTCCTAGAGAAAAGATTATGACTTTTTTTTTAAGATTATGACTTTTAATTTGGGGCACTTAAAAATTCATTAGAGTTAAAAGTCAGATTTATCTTTCTAGAACCTGAAATCTGTTTGAAACAGATGAAACCGTTAGATTGGCTTTGTTACCAGAAAGAGGATGGAATTAAAATTAGTGAGGGGGAGTTTAAGAGAAAGGCTCTCTTTTCAGTAAAATGGAGAAAATTCTCATAGCATTGGCCCAGGAAGAGGGTAGCAGGAAGCCTTGTATTGTGATGAGCTTCTTAAAAATTTCAATGAGCAAACTACATGATTTCCACTTCATAGAATGTTTTCATTTAGCAGCATTTTCTCTGGGGTCGTTCTCTGGAGACCACCTTGGGCCACCAGTCCCCGCTGGGGGAGGAAGGGCCTGCCCGTGAGCCAGCGGGGCGGGGCAGGCGGGCCACGGGGGGCTGAGCGCAGCGGAAGCACAGGGGAACGCCCAGGCCCCGGAGAGCACAGCTGCCAGCCCAGATCGGCCCGCTAAGGCCCCCTGGTAGAAACTTCACATTTTCACTTGTAAAAGGTTGGTGTAATTTTGGGACTTGTCTTTTTTTCACAGTCAGAAAATGAACGAAATTATCACATTTTCTATCAGCTTTGTGCATCAGCGCAACAGTCGGAATTTAAACATCTTAAACTGGGTACGTGGTGGATGGTATGTAGAAGAGCCTTTTCTGTAGGGCTTTAAATTCGAGGTTAATTTCTTCTTCATATATTAACATCACTTTAAAAATATATTCTGTCCCAAGATATAAGATCCTTGAGTTTTGGGGAAGAGTTGATGCCTCGAAGGAGATAGATTAGGGCTGATGGGTTGGGGGTCCAGGAAGGGGGAGCCCTTCAACCCCAGAGTTCTTGTCAAAGGTCATGGGTGATTGTGCTCCTGCAGCTGGAACCGCCTGGATAAGGCCTCCCGACAGCTAGCACTCACTGCCCTAAGTCCCCCAAACTTTTCTTTTTTATCTGAACTCCTTGGATGGTCATTTTTCTAACATGTTTGCCATATTTTCCTTCAGAGACAGAGCACCTCTATCATAATTTGAAATTCTTGATGACTCAAGGTCACTATTTTATGTAGTCATAACGAAGTCACGTGAAGATAATATCCGTACCTTATATACTAAACAGAATGTGAATAGTGGACATAACAGGGCTTTCTCAAGGATAACCTACTATTCAAATATTGTATGTATATTAGGTCATTATCTTGTTTGTAATAATGGCTTTACAAGGGTATGCATACATCAAAACTCATCAAAGTGTACATCTTTTTAAAAAATAAATTTATTTATTTATTTATTTATTTTTAGAGAGAAGGGAAGAGAGGGAAAGAAACACCAGTGTGCAAGACATACATCAATGGGTTGCCTCTTCATACCCCCTGCTGGGGACCTGGCCTGCAACCCAGGCATGTTCCCTAGACTGGGAATTGAACTGGCAATCCTTCAGTTCACTGGCCAGCACTCAATCCACTGAGCCACACCAGACAGAGCTAAAGTGTACATCTTAAATGTGTGTAGTTCATTGTACATTTAATATACTTCACTAAAAAATGTCTGTGGCACAGGCATTTGTACAGAAATTTGACACAGAAAGCTGTATAATAAAATGGTTAGGCACTGGATCAAAATCCACGTGATTTGAGGTCAGGCTTGTGTTTAAATTCTTGCCCTGCCATTTGCGTGGGACCTTGAGGAAGTCACTTCACTCTCTTGAGCCTCAGCTTCTTAGTCTGTAATGTAGAATTCTAAGGAATAAATGGAATGGCATGTGTAAAATATCTCAATATAGCTTATTAAGAACTTTCGTTTTGATAAACATGGACACCCAAGTTTTTGTGATATAGGCACAACGATTTCACTCGATTTCAGGGAGTGCGGAAGAATTTAATTACACAAGAATGGGAGGCAGCACTGTCATTGAGGGCGTGAATGACAGGGCGGACATGGCAGAGACCCAGAAGACCTTCACACTGTTGGGTAAGTGACAAATCCTGTCCACGGTGTGGCCATTTCCTTTTTTAAACACCTTTTTTAAAAAAGGCAAGGATACTAAGCATGCATGTACTCTGAAGATTCCTAATAAATCCTAATATTAGAATGCCAATCAGAACATAGCTAGAGGTCGAGTGATTAAGACTGTGCCTTTCCCTAAAAGATCTAGCAATCAGCGTGTTTGTCCTCAGCCTCATTGGGTTGCTGGGAGAGTCCTGGCTACAAGCCCTGTGACGTAGTTTGTAAGCTCTTCTGGGCGACTAGAGAGAAGCCTGGTGAAAGCCAGGCTCTCACTGAGTTCAGAAGTGTAGTGTTGACCCCACACAGCCTTCGCGGGTATCCAGATGACAATAAAATGGTGCACACTGATATGCAGCTTAGGTATCACCCTAAGCGCTTTATTACTCTTATTAACTCATTTAAACCTTACAACCACCCTAAGAGGTAGACGCTAGTATTTCCTGCATTTTACAACAGGAACCTGAGGAGGAACAGAGATGGAAGTGGTTTACTTAAGGTTACAGGGCAAGTATGGAGGGAACCGGAATTGGACTCAGGGTCTTTAAACATCTCATTTCTTAATTTACTTAATTTTTTTTCAATTAGAGCTTACATTCAATATTGTTTTGTATTAGTTTCAGGGGTCCAGCATAGTGGTGAGACAATTACATACTTTACAAAACGTTCCCCTGATATTTCCAGGACCCGTCTGGCACCGCACGCAGTTATTACTATATTATTGACTACATCCCCTAAGCTGCACTTTACATCCCTGTGGCTGTTTTGTAACTACCACTCTGCTTCTCAGTCCCTTCACAGTCCCCCGATCCTTCTCCACTCTGTCCACCACCAGTTTGTTCTCTATATCTCTGAGTCTGTTAGAACGTCTCTCTCTTTTTTCTATCCTCACCCAAGGACATTTTTTCATTGCTTTTAGAGAGCAAGTAAGGGAGAGAGGATTCAGAGAGAGGGAAAGGGAGGGAGAAAGAGAGGGAGAGAAATATTTATGTGAGAGAGAAATATTGATCAGTTGCCTATCATACATGCCCCAACTGGGAACCAAACCTACAACCCGGGCACATGCTTGGACTGGGAACCGAAGCTGCAACCTTCCAGTCTTACAATTACAATTTATTGTTATCTCGTGTGATTCTGGGTGGACTGGGCTCAGCTGGGCACTTCTCACATGGGGACTGTCCTATGATGGTGGCAGGGGCTGGATCCTCTGAAGGCTTCTTCTCTCGTGTGGACTGGGATGGCTACAACTACTGGGAGCTGGGTGAGCACCTCCTGTCTCTCCGCAGGGACTCCCTCACTGTGTGCTGCTCGCACAGTAAATGGACTGCATGTGCGTGACTACCTTCTCCCAGAGTCAGTTCCAATGGGCTCAAGTAGACTCTGCAGGGCTTTTTATAAACCAACCTCAGAAGTAATGCAGCCTCACTACTGCCATGTGTTAATAAGCGAAAGCAAGTCAAAGGGCCAGCGCAGACTCAGGACCTGGGAGGTAACTATGCAGGGCGTGAACGCTGGGAGGGGCGCAGTGGCCATCTTTGGGGTGGCCCCTGCAGTAGCTGTCAGGGATGCTGTGAGGATGAAGAGATAATGTCTAAAATGGTTTGTGAACTGTGCCATGCTGTATCAGAGGTCAGTACGCATTTAACGAAAACATGACCTCATTGCATGAATCACTAAAAAATGTCCTAGACCAAAGGTCGGCAGACTGAAGCCTATTTTTGTGAATAAAAACTTTATTGTTGCAGAGATACAGTCATTTGCATAAGTATGGTCTATGGCTGTTTTTATACTGTGGTAGCAGAGTTACGTGATTGCGACATCAACTACACTGCCTGCAAAGCCTAATGAGAAAACATTTGCTGACCCTTGTCCTAGATGATGTGGTGAGAAGAGTTGAGGAGCCCCTTAGAGTTTTCTTGCAATACGGGAGAAGACTTGTGGAGCTCACGCAGCCATCTGGATTCACCCCAGTGTGTCCAAACGTGATGACCCACTGCCAGGCAGGGGAGAAGTTTGGTTTAGTCTCTAGAGGTCCATGCACTGTTGTGGAGTGGACTCGTGCATGGAACGAGACGATCTGACTGACTTTGAGATTGCGATCCTCCTGTGAGCCCCAAGCCAATGACATTGTGCTATGAGTTGATTTTGTGGTCTCCAAACCTGCGTCGTCCAACACGGTAGCCACCAGTCACAAGTACTTTAATTAAATTGAAATAAAATTAAAAATCAGTACCTTAGTTGCGCTAAGCATGTTTCAACTACTCATAACCACAAGTGGCTCATAGCTCCTGTGTTGTGCAGCACAGATACAGAACATCATTCCTGGAAGTTCCATCCAATAGTGTGTCTCCTAACAATGAGAACGCCTTGCTTATACTGCTTGGCCCATTGGCTATGTTCTCTTCCGTGTGCCTCGGTGGTATCTAGCTTAGATGGAGACCCCCTCCAGGGCAGAGTGCCCAACTCTAATCTTATACAGGATTATAACGCCCTTGGGCACATCACACTCTTTTAAAATGTGATTGCTAAGTAAGTCCTTGTTGGTTGGTTTGTCTGTTCCTGTGTTTTGTTATGGAAACAATATAGAGAATTGGGAGGATTAGCAGCAGGTTATCAAGGTCAATACCAAAACCCGCTTCACAACGTGCCCAGTAAATGGACCTCAGAGCCTGCTCAGGCCTCTGTGCCTGGCGTGGGGCTGTCGGGGACCTCCACGTCAGATGCCCTGCGGGAGGCGAGGACAGCTGCACGGACTCCACAGGTCTCTTCACATATTGCAGTGGTCACTGGCATTAAAATGGTCAGATACAACATACTCAGCAGGACCTTGGGCAAATTTCCTAACCCTTCCATGCCTTAGTGTCCCCTCTGTGCAACGGGAATGATACTGGGGCTTATTCATATAGTTGTAAGCATGAGAGAGGTGACACAGGGGAAGTGCTGGGACAGTGCCTGGCAGACAGGAGTTCCCTCCCTTTCCCCTCCTGTTCTGCTCCTGAGGTCCCTGGGCCAACCGCAAAGTTATCCTTGAGGAAGCAGAAGGCGATGCATTTTGATCAAAAGCTCCTCTCCCTTGCTCTGCCCTGATCTCATTGAATTCATCCTTTGATCCTTGCCTGGCCTGACAGATCTCTGAAAGAAAGAACACGCTGGGAACAGTCAGACGTAGCCAGGACTCGGGCTCAAGAGACTTGACCATTGTGTTTCTCATTGAAATCTAACTCGGGCTGGCAGTGCTTTTCCGTGACTTTGTCTCACGAACAGCAATTACTGAACTGAGGACTGACGTTCGTTCTTTCCCATAATGGCTTTGGAGCTATTGCACATTCGCGGACTCTGGAAGGCGTGGAAGAGTGAAATGACTTCGTTGTGGATCACACAGAGAGGGGAGGCAGAACTAAGACTCCCAAACTTCCCATTCTTACTTGCTTTTCCTTATCACTTACCTGTCATTGATCACCGTGGCAGCCTGGGGGTTTATTTCTGGTAGAAGATCTGTCCTTCCAATGGACATGTTAGCTCCAAATGGAAAGGCAGCAAACACCGAGACCCAGTCTGAGCTGGAGTGGTCCGTATATTTTTGGTTTGAAATCTCTTGCCCTTTAATTTTGTTTAACCTTTGAAATAGAGAAGACTCCCTAGGTTTTGAAATTATTTAAGAACATGACCTAGTTGCTACTGAAAAGTGACAGGCGTCCTCACGCAGCAGCAGTGGGGGCAGCAGCGGCGCTCTCTCGGGGTCCAGGGCCCGCTGCTTCCCGCCGCGAGGGGGTGGGGCCGCCGCGGGCCTCTCTTCCAGCTGCCCCCACTGCGGCCCAGGGGGCACAGAACTCCCTCCCAGGGAGCCTGCCCCACCCGCCTGAGTGCGTCCCCAGCTCCGTGACTCACCACAGCGCCACTACCACCACCTGGTGCTCCCCCTCATCCACCCACTCCTGCACTGGGCCCCTGACCCAGCGAAGCACTGCTGGCGACGGGCAGGTTCTCCGTTGTGATTTCTGGGAGTCAGACACAAGGGCCTTCCTGGTAGCTGGTTTGGTTTATTTTCAGCTCCAGGAAATGTACTAATCCCTTCATGGTGACCAAATACGGCTGTATTCATAATTTATATTCTGCCCGCATCAGTCAGGGTCCCAGTGGGAAACATGGGGCGCACTCCACTGAGGATAAAAAGAGGAGGGTTTGTTAATGAAGGAAGCGACTAGCAGTGCGGATGGAGCTGGGGGAGCTACGAGGGGCGGCGGTAGGGACCTGGGTGCAGCAGCAGAGCTGTTAGCTGCTCTTCCCTGTTCAGCACAGGGTGTTACTGGAGCCTGAAGGGAACGGTGGGGAAAGTCGGTGCCAGCTCAGGAGCAGTGACCTTCTGGTGGTCGGCAATACAGTCAGCCTGAGGCAGCATCGCAGGAAAAGAGAGCTGACACGCCCCTCTCTCCTCCTGCTCCCTGACCTCCTGCCAAGGTCCTCACTGGCCAGACCCAACCACAGGCCCGAGGACAGGAGCACCCATTGCCTTGGTCCAGGCATGTCAGCCCCCGGGGCAGAGAACGGGGTGCTGAGCTGGAGGGGCAAGTGAAATCCATCAAGCACCCCACCATAAAAAGAACTCAGGGAGACTGTGAACAAAAAAGAAAAAGAAAACACATATTTAAAGTAAAGCAAGTACATCATAGATTAAATGAGCATTGATTCTCTCAGGAATGAGACGCAAAATGGTTATCTGGATAGGAATTTTTGTGTTGAACTTCCTAGTGGCCACAGCAAAAGGGGAAACCTCGTGGGTTCTAGAGCTCACGTTGTGCATCTGCACAAGTCACACAGGAAAGAACAGTGAGCCAGGCTCTCCTGGGGTCCACGTCACATCCCCTCTCCGTGAGCTCATGGCACCAATGGTACAACACTAGTGTATCTTGGAGGAATTAACGTGTTATCTTTGCCAGCAATTAAGTAAGAGAAGAAATGCAGTAATCCTAATTTGGGAAAATTTTTGTTTTCAGGTTTCAAGGAGGATTTTCAGATGGATGTTTTTAAGACCCTGGCAGCCATCCTACATCTGGGCAATGTCCAAATCAAAGCAGTGGGCAATGAGCGATCTACAGTTAGTGTAAGACACTTGCTTGTTTCACCCGCCCTGTGTTTGGAGGGTCATCATTAGAACACCTCAGGCTTCCCCTGCTTTCGCCTTTTAGCACCAGGCACTTTGGGCCAACTGGGGAGAACAGCTTAATCAAAAGAATAAAGCAAGGGTTTCCATGGGTTGCCTTTAAAGAGTAAAGCTTCTTCCCCTTCTCCCTCTTACAAGTGAGCACCTACTATGTGCCAGACACTCTTACAGACTCTGAAGAAACAGCAGTGAACAACACAAAACAAGATGCCCCTCATGGAGCTTATGACCTGGGAGGCAGAAGTGGAGGAGAGGAGACACAATAAACAACTCTAGGCTCTGGCAGCTGGTGATGGCTATTAAAAAGGAAAATAAGGCAGAGTATAGGGTAGGCAGGAGCTTTCAGAGAAATCCTCTGAGTGCCTGACACAAAAGGCCTCCTCACACCTCAGTCCTCATCCTTCCTGTCTGACCTCGTGGCAGTGGGCCAGGCCTGCAGACAAGGAAGTGAATTGTGCCCACATCTGGGGGAAGGATATTTGAAGAACAGAACGCAGCAAGTGCAAGGGCCTCCAGGCAGGAGGTATAATTTGAGAAAGAGCAAAAATGTCAGGATATGCAGAGAGGAGTGAGCAAAATACAGTGTGGCAGATGAGGCCAGAAAACAAGGGGCGGGCGGCACAGGTAACTAGGGCCTGAAGGACCCGGGATCGTCTAAGCAGAAAGGACACCTCCTGCGTCCTGACTCAGACCCGTATCAAACACCAGTGGGGCTGGCTTCTTCCCTGGAAATGTAGTGCCATGGAAGTTTGGTGACAGATTTCTTTATTGTAGAGACACAAGGTAAGTTTATGTGCGTGTCTTCTCCGACAAATATTATGAGTGATTCTTGGTAGGAGGTATGTGTTTAGCTATTCTCATCAATATCCACGCGAAGAAGGAAAGGAGACATAGTAACACATGTGTCTATTAATGCGATGGCCATGGTGTCCGGCCAAGGGCGAGGGGCAGGTCCAGCGCCACTGCGGCCCCTCCTGCTTCACTCCGAGGCCTGGCTGTGTCTCGCAAAGCTGGCCATTCTCATGCCGGCTCGTCCTACTCCCCCAGGGGCCCGAGCCAGGAGGCCAGGGCCCTGGCTGGTTGGGCTGGTGCTGCTTTAGACGGCTGGGCGGCCCTGACAGAGCTTCTGTTCGTTTTCAAAGGGGGATGACAGTCACCTGGAGGTGTTCTGTGAGCTCCTGGGCCTGGACAGTGGCAAAGTGGCTCAGTGGCTGTGCAATCGCAAAATCGTCACGACCTCCGAGACGGTGGTGAAGCCCATGACCAGGCCCCAGGCCGTCAACGCCAGGGACGCGCTGGCCAAGAAGATCTACGCTCACCTGTTTGACTTCCTTGTGGAGAGAATTAACCAAGCATTGCAGTTTTCAGGCAAGCAGCACACTTTTATTGGTGTTTTGGACATTTATGGGTAAGCTTCTCTTTAGTGAGCCCATCTTTCCTCATTTGAATGTTGAATGCCTGTCATTTTTAGATTATTTTGTTCTGGTTTCTCCTTTGTGTTTCACGAGATCAGAAAGATGGTGTTCTCTGTTTTTGCATGTATGGATGTAAAGGACAGTCTCCTGGGCTACACGCAGTGTCTTAGTTGGTGTACTAAATAAATGCTGAGTTAGTAATGGCCACAGCCAGAGCTCACCGTCTGCCAGCAACCATGCTGGGTGGTTCCCACGCACTTTCTCACTTACTCCTCAAACAAACCTGTTATCAACCCCATTCTAGAGATGAAGCAGCCAAGGCTTAACAGGCTCAGTAACTGGTTCACAGCTGCTCTGCCGCTGGGGGAACCAGTGCCTTGTGAGGCTGCCGCCCACTTCTGTCTCCTAATAGAGACCCCGTGAGGTGTGGATCCTGATGTACCTTTCCCGTGTCACAGGGAATGACAGTCCCAGAGCCCCTGCACCCCACCCAGGCTCTGGGCCAGAAGAGGACTCAAACCCAGGCCTCTTGCCAGCCCACCTCCTCACACCTAAATCCTCATCCTTTTTCTGGGCGATGAGGGTCATGGGTTTGCCTCAGCCCTTCCCCAGGAGTTCCCACGTTGGAGTTTTGTTTTGTCCTCCCCTTCGCCCATCCTGCTTCTCTAAATCCTGGGTCAGACTCGCACTAAAGATGCTCATAGAATAGCCAGAGGAGTGCACAGGGCCAGGCCAGCGTGGAGGTGGACTCTAAGGGGGCCGCTGGCGCCTGGCCTTCCGTGCCCTAACCCTCCCCCCAGGGCCAACCCTGGTGTCTCCATGGGAGAAGGGGCAGATCACCCGCTGAGGGCACCACAGAGTATTCTACCCAGGTCAGGGAGCGGTCAGTCCCTGGGCCTGTAAAGAGCAGCTCAGCCCCCTCCCCGTGCAGAGGGAGGCTGGGCTCTGGGCCTCCCCACCTCCTGGGGAAGGCGGGGCAGAGGGGCCACAGAGAACCCAGGTAAAGAGAGTGCCTCAAGAGAGCTACTTTGTGTAATTTAGATCCTAAATTACTACACGTGGCTACCAATCAATAGGGATGTCAACAGTTATAAAACATTGATACATTACTGGGATCGTCTAGTAAATTATTTACTTTTTTTATTCTAAATAAAAAAAAAAGTATGTGAGCAGCCAGTAATAATTTAAGTAGACTTGTAAAAAGGAATAGTCCTGCTTCCCAATAGTCTCTTTGCGATGGAAATAGGTGATTGTTATATTATTCACTGCTCTTTTCTGTGCTTTTAAATTGCCTTAAAAATAAATAGACCTTTATTTTAAGAATATATTATTTCATACATCCAACAAGCATATATGTGCCAGGCATTGTGTTGGGGGTGCTCAGTGCAGAGCAGAGGCACATGGCCCCTGCCTTTTGGGACTTAGATTTTAGTGGAGTAGGCAGTGGGTAATTACATGAGGACGATTCCTTCGAAGGGGATAGGGGATGAGTGGGAGGTAACGGGGACTCGGGGAGAGAGGAGGGCCGCTGAGTGCAAGGAGCAGTAAGTGAGGAGAACGGCAGGTAGGCAGGAGTCAGATCCTGGAATTTGAACTTTTCGGCTGCATGTTCAAACGTGAGTCAGGAGTAATGATAAATCCACAAGAATTTCTTAGGCTATGTCTTAAATTTTAATTTTAAAATTAAATTCCTCTTCAAAATGATAAAGTAACATGCTTGCAGTCACCCATGAATGAATGGTACCCCCTCCAAAAAATAAACACCCCTTTTTAAGTAACTATGCTATTGCCTAGGGTGAATCCTTTCACATCTCTCTCTGGTATGCTCACGGCTAGGTTAGCCCTATTCCATGTGCACCCCGAAACTTTTTGAGAGAACTGAGCTCCACTTGGCTTAGAAATCAGGCAGCCTCAAATGAAGAGTTACCCTTATTGAAAACGTTTAAGGATAAACCTGTGGCCTTTGAAGCTTCAGCGGGGAACCACATGACGGCTTATGGTCCCCCAGCCAGTGGGTGTTTATTTTCTCTGGCCCCTGAGTTGCACAGGCCTGGGGCTGGGCAGGGGGCTCAGATCCCTGGGGGTAAGCAGTACAGCCTGGCGGGTGTGTGGTCCTGAGGAAGTCACCGAACATCTGAAGCTCAGTTTCCGCATCTGTAAGATGGGGCCTTTGTTGCAGAGTTATTACGAAGCTCAAATGGAAGAAATGGTAAAGGCATCTTTTGGGGGGTCAGGGGGTTATCTGTGGCTTTATATCTCCGTATTTGCAGTTAAATATAAGGGATTTAAAACAGTTCTGAGAATTAGTCTATACTATACCCCCGGGTGAAGACATCTTAAGAACCATAAGCGTTGTTCAAATGTGAAGTGCTATCATAGGGGATGTGCTTCTGGCATTTTAGTACAGGTTTGGGTCTTTCCATGGGTTTTGAACTTTAGCTCTGGGGAAGATGGGGAAGGCGGGGAAGGTGGGCAAAAGGCAGGAACATAATCACTGATGCTTGACATTCTGCCCCTGCTCTAGAAAGCCCTGCCTTTGGTCTTGGCTTTGGGCCACAGAGCACACCGAGGAACCTTGGACTCTCCCCCCACGCCCGGCTCTGGCCTGTCGGCAGTGTCCAGCCTCTGGACCTACCAGAGCACATTCAGAACACAGCTATCAGGGCTGCGGAGTCACCCTGGAGCTGTTCAGAGGAAAGTCGAGTCCTGTAATCTGCCCAGGAAGTCCAAACTGAGCCAAGCTGGCTTACAAGTGACACTCCCAGGGGACCTGTGGCTGGTGCTGGCAGGAACCCCTGGGGATTAGAGCAATTAAGAACCGAAGCTTTGCAGGCACCAGGAGCTGGGGTCAGATTGCACATCTGGCACCCTTTGCTGGCTGCCAGTCTCTGCGATGGTCACCGTCTCCTCTGGCCCTCACGTGTAGCAGTGGGGCCACCATAGCCCTCCACCTAGGGCGGTGTTAGCCGTTCAGGGAAGCAATGTGTATCAGTGCTTACACCTAAACCCTGGGAGAACTTCCTCCTGGCAGGACTGTTCTCCTAGCCAGGTGGTGAACTTGGTGCCTGGGTTTTGTTCAGCTGACATGTTTTCCAGAATGGGACGATTCATATGAAAGTCCAGATCTCTGGCTTCTCTTGAGAATCAGGTGATCTAACATCCTGGCCTGCATTAATCCGTGGCCACAGCTAGCTGGGCTGAGTCCCAGCTGCCCCGTGGACAATCCTGTTTGCCACAGTTGGCAGAGCTCACCGTCCTCTGCTCTCTCCAGCCTGCTTCCTGTTCTGTCACCTCCCGTTGGTAGCCTGCAAGTACGCAACTCCAGGGCAGCTCCAGAGAAAAGTCTGAAAATGGAGGGCCACATCTGTCTTGGACCTGAGGGTCTGCTGGGCTATAGGTATCAAATGGCCCTGCTCTTTTTCCCCAAGAACTACGAGAGCACCCTGGGGGGAGGCAGAACTCTGCTGTCTCTCCCTTCAACAGGCAACGAGGAGGGAATCAGAAACAGCATTGCTTTTTTACCAAATTATAGGTGTTCAAGTCAGGCAAGTTCACAGCTGTCTGACACTAACTGTGTAACCTCAGGCAAATTTCTTAACCTCTGGAGTCTTATTTCCTCATCTATCAAGTGATGGTAATAACAAGGCTGTCAGTGTTGTTGTGTAGATGAAACAATACGTGCTATTGTGAGGGGCCAGTTTTAATGCCTGCCTCAGGGTAAGTGTTTTGTACGTACCAGATTCCTTCTGAGGCAACCTGGGAAAAACTGATTTAAAAACTAACTGCCAGGCTTTCAGATATATGTAAAACTTTCAGAAAACATAGCAAACTTTTAAGCTATGACCTTTGTCCAAAAACACTGACCTATAAATGAATATATATGTCCTCCAAGTTACATTTTAACTTGTTTAAACTGTATTTCAGTTTTGAAACCTTTGACGTGAACAGCTTCGAACAGTTTTGCATCAATTATGCTAACGAAAAGCTGCAACAGCAGTTTAATCTGGTAGGTGACATTTCTGCCTTCATCAAACTCATTCTCAGCCCTGTGTGCTCCGAAAGTGGAAAACTGGCACAATCAGGCTACTTCCCCCCTCAAATCCTGGATAGTCAAGGAGCTGCACGCTGCCTCAACTGCACCACCTTGTGGCCATATCTGGAAATCACATCTTCCCACCCTTTTTTATCTTTTTGGAGCCCTTTGCCAACTTTCCAGTTCCAGTTCCTCATATGTCATTCTTGGATTCAGACTCTCCTCTGTAGCCAGACCAAATGGTTTAGTTAGTTTCCTGAAGGCTCCACGTCCTTGTGAAACTCCGTATCTTTGCACCTGCTACTCTGTCTGCTGTAACTCACCTGCTGTTCCTGTTCTTTTCCCGTCCCTTCATCTTTACGTGGTGAACTCTCCCACTTGCCTTTTTAAAATTCAGCTTATCCCACACAACCCTGAAGAATAGATAGTATGACATCATGGAGAGCATGGGCTTTTTAAAAATATATTTTATTGATTATGCTATTACAGTTGTCCCAATTTTTCCCCCCTTGCGCCCCTCTGCCCGCTACCCCTCTTCCTTCCAGAAAGCCCCCCGCCGTTAGTTCATGTCCATGGGTCGTGCATGTGAGTTCTTTGGCTTTTCCATTTCCTAGACTATTCTTAACCTCCCCCTGGCTATTTTGTACCTACTATTTATGCTGCTTACTCCCTGTCCCTTTCCCCCACTGCCCCCCCAACTGATAATCCTCCGTGGGATCTCCATTTCTGTGATTCTGTTCCTGTTCCAGTCGTTTGCTTAGTTTGTTTTTTAGATTCAGTTGTTGATAGTTGTGTATTTGTTACCCCCTTAATGTTCATAGTTTTGATCTTCTTTTTCTTAAATAAGTCCCTTTAACATTTCATGTGATAATGTCTCAATGATGATGGACTCATTCAGTTTTACCTTGTCTGGGAAGCACTTTATCTGCCTTTCCGTTCTAAATGATAGCTTTGCTGGATAGAGTAATCTAGGTGGTAGGTCCTTGCTTTTCATGACTTTGAATATTTCTTGCCAGTTCCTTCTTTCCTGCAAGGTTTCTTTGGAGAAATCAGCTAACAGTCTTATGGGAACTCCTTTGTAGGTTACTCTCTGCTTTTCTCTTGCTGCTTTTAAGATTCTCTCTTTATCTTTAACCTTTGGCATTTTAATTATGATATGTCTTGGTGTGGTCCTTTTTGGGTCCAACTTGTTTGGAACTCTCTGTGCTTCCTGGACTTGTATGCCTATTTCCTTTCCCAAATTAAGGAAGTTTTCTTTCATTATTTTTTCAAATAAGTTTTCAATTTCTTTCTCTTTTCTTCTGGCACACCTGTGATTAGGATGTTGGTACATTTAAAGTTTTCCCAAAATTTCCTAACCCTGTCCTTTTTTTTTTTTTTAATTCTTTTTTCTTCCTACTTTTCTGGTTGAATACTGTTTCCTTCTTTGTGTTCCAAATCATTGGTTTGATTCTCAGCTCCCTCCTCTCCACTGTTGGTTCCCTGTAGATTTTTCTTTATTTCACTTAGTGTAACCTTCATTTCTTCCTTTATGTTGTTGCTGTATTCAATGAGTTCTTTGAGCATCGTGACCACAGGTGTTTTGAACTCTGCATCCAATAGGTTGGTTATCTCCATTTCATTTAGTTCTTTTTCTGGCGTATTGTTCTGTTCTTTCATTTGGGCCATATTTTTTGTCTACTGAATTCAGCAGCCTCCCTGTGTTTGTTTCTGTGTATTAGGTAGAGCTGCTTTGACTCTCTGTCTTGGAAAAGGCACCTGTAAATTGTGAGGTGGAGCCTTAGGTAATTGCCAGAGCGGAACCACCCACTTCACCGCTTTGTGGCTCCATGTGGGAAGGGATTGAAGAGGGGGCAGTCCTGCTGCTTGGCTTCTGGAGGTGTGCCCAGCACTCGCCCCATTTCCAGTCACTTCACCTACTTCCTGTATGGACTGGGGCCCTTCCATCTTTTGCCTTGGTGTTGAATCCCAGAGTGGGTGGGTTTGTGTACATTCTAAGTCCATGCAGGCCCTTTAAATGAACTCTGCTGAAAATCTAGCAGTTTCTCCCACTGCCCCAACCCCCACTGGTTTTTAGAGCCAGAAGTTAGGGGAATTTATCCTCCCGACACTGGAACCTGGGGCTGTGCGGTCTGGCCTGGGGCTGGGATTGCTCACTCCCAAGGTATCCCTCCTGATTTTTTCTGACCACACATGAATGTGGGACTGCCCGTTCCAGTGCCAGCACCTCTCGGTGCTACACCACGTCTCTGCGCCTCTCTGTCCATCTCTGCAACTCCACCCTCCCTCCTGTCTGGATGAATGTGGCTTCTTTAAATCCTTGGTTTTTGGTCTTCTACACAGCCCAATTTTCTGACAGTTCTGGATGTTATTTGTTTTGAGAAATAGGTCTAATTCTTTCTGTGGTTGCACAAGGGGGCAAAGCTCTCCCAGTGGCTGGCTCCTCACACTGGCCCCGTGGCCAGCATTCTCAGGCAGGCTGGCTCTGTCCTGGGAAGCCGCAGTGCCCGTGAGCAGGCTGGGCCCGGGACCACCCTGAGTCCCTGGGGGGCTGGAGGTGACTGGATGTGGGCGCCCACTCAGACTGGGCAGGAGGATGGTGTCTAAACCCGAAATAGGAGCTCAGCAGCGCTGCTTATGGAGAAGGGGCATAGCCTGCACCTCTGGGTCCCCCACAAACATTGCAGACCTGTTGTGTAGCTACATTTTCCAAATGCTTACATCCTGCTCTTCAGAAGCACACTTTAATATTCTGTTTTACTTTCTGTATTAACTTCTGGTTTCCCAGCATGTCTTTAAACTTGAACAAGAAGAATACATGAAGGAGGATATTCCTTGGACTCTGATAGATTTTTATGACAACCAACCAGTTATTGACCTGATTGAAGCAAAAATGGGCATTTTGGAGTTACTGGATGAAGAATGCTTGGTAACTTTAAAAAAAAAAATTTTCAACTTGTGAGTAGTAACATGAGCCTGTTGCAAAGTGGATTTTTAAAAATGTACATGTGAATTCCTGATGTGTGATCCAGTTGGCTGGATATTAATGCTGGTCAGCAGTCCACAGTGGGAACCCTAGAGGGAGGTAAGCCTCCCACCCTCAGAAGGTGCTGTCCGCCCTTGGGTAACGTGCACAACCTCTTAGGTTATGCCCTGCAAGGAGGTGCCCTTTGAGGCTGTCCCTAGGTGTATGTAGAGTGTACGTGGAAACAGCAGGTGACCCCCACACCAGCTGTTAATGACTAACAAGAAGCAAGTTTTCTTTTACTTCCTGATCTATGAGTCATCCATCGGGAGGTGTGGTTGAAAAATCAACACCATATACTTGGAGAGGAGAGGTCTCTCAGGGTTTTTCTCGTCTTATTTCCCTCTGGGAGGAGCAACTTCCTGGTGAGGCAGCCTGGCAGTGTCCTTTCCAAGGTAGCCTCCAGGAAACCACAGACATCTCTAGGTGACCAGTGTCACAAAGACGTATGCAGGAACCATTTGAACACAATGGGGTATTAGATTCACAGCCTTCAAGCTGAATATACTTGATAGCATTAAAATTACCAGTATCAAGAACAAGTTGTGCAACCAGCTTAGTGTGCGGAGGTAAGATCTTAGTGCAAGGAGGTAGTTATTCATTAGGCAGTAAAATAAAAGAAAAACCGTCTTCCTGGTGGGGGGAGGGGGCGGGACTCCATTTAGATACCAGTCTTTCCCCATAAAACTGAAAATAAAGTCACATTCACATAAAAGAATCCATGCTTCTTTTTCCTGAACCTTTGGACTGCTTTGGGAAAAAATACAAAAATACTGCCAATTTTGCTGAAATAAAATCCTTCATTCTTAAGTCACTATATGACCATTTCCTTTTAGTTTATAACATTTTGTTCTGAAAGGGCTTTGAAGTATCCATTTAAAATCACTCTAAAGACTGTTGAGATCAAAGACAGGTTCATACAGAGAATCGCTTTTAAAAAAGGAGCTGCAGATCCAGAGCCACTCACTCCAAGGTCCCGGGTATCAGAAGGAGCCCTTGTCCACAAAAAAGAACGAAACTGTACATTTGTGACAGCATGGGTTGACCTAGAAGGTATTATGTGCAGTGAAATAAGTCAGAAAAAGACAGGTATCCTCTGATTTTGCTGGTGTGTGGAATCTTAAGAGCAAAAGGAACACACAAAAGAGAAACAGACTCCTAGACACAAAGAGAGAACTGGTGGTTGCCAGAGGGGAGGGGTTCTGGGGGGATACGTGAAAGAGGGGAGAGGGTTAAACAGTGCAGTTCGGTAGCCAGGGAACCGTCCCGGGGATGTAAAGCACAGCACAGGGAATATGGTCAATGATACTGTGATAACTATGATGGCGTCAGATGGGTAGTAAACTTCTCAGGGGGATCACTTAGTTTCATGATGTCTGATCACTGAGTCCTACACCCGAAACTAATATAATATTGTATGTCAGCTGTAAGTGAAAAACTTTTTTAAAAAACTATTTTAAAAAAATGGATGAGCGCTTTTTCTTACCTCTACTCATCTTTCATCTCTAGTTTCTTTACTTGCTATTTGGTTTGCTTTCTCCTCCAGTTACCACATGGAAGTGATGAAAACTGGCTTCAAAAGCTGTATAATAACTTCATCAACAAGAACTCTTTGTTTGAAAAGCCCCGAATGTCAAATACATCCTTCATCATCCAGCACTTTGCCGACAAGGTACAGTGAGAGTCTGGGAGGAGCAGGCTGGCCGGGGACTTTCCACGGCCGGTTCCCGTCGCCCTTAGCGCGTGGCTTTGATGAAGGGTGTGTGTATACTCAACTGCTCTTAACTTGATTTTATCATGAAATACAAGATAAACATGTTGCTATTAGACCTCATTTCTGAATTTGGATTTATAGGGAATTCATTAACCTCTTACCATTTTATTTTCTCCATGCAATAGTTATAATCAAGACAGCATAATTGTTTCTTATAACAAAAGCTGTATCTTTATTGAGGTCTTCCTATTTTATTAAGTTGTAATATATTTGTCATAGGCTAACATAGGTTGGCTGGAGATGATGGGTTTTCTTGGTGATCTTTATTTTCTCCTTTAGCTCTATTTTTTAATGAAACAAATGTTACTCTAGGAAAGAGAAAATTATTTTTTTCAAAATCACATTGCAAAAAGCTTGACAAATACGAGGTGGGACAAAAGTAAGTTTACAGTTGTGAGTGCATGAAACACAGACTTTATTCTTATATTATTATTTATTTATTACTGTATCCTTTTCCATACGAACAATTGTAAACCTACTTTTGCCTCACCCGGTAGCAGGGAGAAAAAAGACCAATCGCCATAATCACCTGCCCTGAACATGCATCCTCATCTTGTGTTCCTTTCCCAAGGAAACTCCTGTGCTCAGCCGGGTGTCAGTGTAGGGGCCTGGGCGGTGCCTGGGGATCCTGGCACTGGCCTGTGCTCGTCTGTCCCAGAGGCTGAGCTGCGGGCTGGCCTCTGGCGGCCCTGCCCGAGGGCCTGAGGGCCTGGGAGGGGACGAGAAGCTGGAGAGCTGTGACAGCCTCTGCGGGCGAGAGGAGTACTGTTAAATGCGGTGGCCTCTTAGTGCTTCCAGTGTTCAGATTTGGTTCCTGAAAACAGGTGCATATGAAATGAATGATGATATATCAAGTTCTATCTTCAAGTTGTCCTTTACGATTTCACACTTGGGATCCCGCGGTGAAAAGAAAGGAAGGGCCAGACTTCACACAACGCACATATGGGGTTTATGGCAGGAGGCCCTCGTTAACGTTTAATTCTGTCACCCGGCACTTTTGAGAAGTCCCTTTTGGAAGCAATGATGCTGCAGGACTCTGGGAGGACTGAGGATCTGTGGGAAGAAACCACACGCACGATAAGGCCAGCCTAGTTCTCCATTCGGTTAGCCAAGGGACGCGAATCATTTAGAAAGTGAGGCAGCTACGCTCAGATCCAAGCCAGCACATCTTCTCTCTGTCCCCAGAGCCCCCAACGGAGGTACCAGCTCCCCGTGACACTGTCCCCACAGACGGCCTCCCTGGATTGAGAAAGCGCTGCATTTGTTAACAGCTTTGCCAATGTAGGCTAGTGGCTCACACCACCAGCTTGGAAGAGTCCATACACATCCAAGTATTTCCTTCACCAGGGCGTATTTACAGACAGCCAGTGACCCTGGCTCGCAGCCCAGCCCTGCCCCCGTGAGCGCGCTCCCCGCCCAGAGGGACAGCCCCTCTGCCAGAGGGACGGGCTACCACCAAAAGCCTGCCTCCGCACAGCCAATTTTTATATTTTATTTTAACATATATTTTTAATCTATGAATAATATATATCACATATTAAAATCTATAACTCAGAGGCATAAACCTTGGGGGTCTGAATGTTTCAGTAGCGCCCCCGCCCCGGGGATGTGGCCCGTTGAGGGACCGCAGAAGTCCTGCAAATCAGAAAGGGCCGCAGGGAGAGCTTCTCTAAGTCACTGCAAACACTGGCCCACCCTAAGCCTGGCTCTAAGGGCCCTTGAAAGCTTTGCAGCCACGTGGTCAGGCTTTCTTTCCCCTTTCTACCCCGTTAATGCTGATTTAGGAAAACATATCTGTTTGAATCCAAAGAACACCACTGAGATTTTTTTTCTCCTCCTGGTGGCTTCTAAGGCCAAGTGAGCCCCAACCCAGGTCTTCTTAGCCCTGGGCATGTGCTAACCGCCCGCCTTGCAGGGGGTGGTCAGTGCGGCCAGAGGGAACTGACAGGTGCGAGTGCGGAGCGGCCGCAGCCAGGGAGCCATCCAGGCAGGGGGCAGCCTGGCTCTTCCCAGCCGGCAATCGGTCCCCAGCTTTCTAACCTTTATATAACGGGTAGCCGTGATCAACAGAAACTGAATCTCTCTTTTTAGAGGATTGCCTTTATAACCGCTTCATTATTCTTTCTTTAAAAAGAAAAGAAACGCGTGGTCTTAGGATGCTCTCTGCTCTTGTCTCTTTGGAAATAATGAGTTCCTTTCTCTGCATAGGTTGAGTATAAATGCGAAGGTTTCCTTGAAAAGAACAGAGACACTGTCTATGACATGCTGGTTGAAATCCTGAGAGCAAGCAAGGTTTGTTAAGTCCTAAGGGGTAACTACTGCTATGCATTTATGTATGTGACGTGGAGATAGATGCGTACCGGGAAAGGGTAAGAGGTGTGGACGTGTGCGTGCACTGTCTTGCAGTGACAAGCTGTAAATCAGACATAACAACAACAACAAAAAACCCCACTTAAACTGTTCTAGAATTGGGGCTAAAATATGTTTCTAGCTTCCGAAAGCGTGCAAATCTGCACCGCGCAAACTCAGAAATCAAAGGGTGCAGGTGACAGAGAGGAAGGACAGCTGATACAACCACCATTTGAAGAACCACAGCTCGTGCTTTATTCATTTAGTCCAGATATAGGGTGGGGGAAAGTAGATTTACAGTTGTGAGTACATGAAACACAGAGTTTATTCTTACAGTATTACAAATTAATTATTGCATTATTTTCCACACGAACAGCTGTAAACCTTCTTTTGCCCACCCCCGTATTTATGCAGCACCCGCCGCGTGCCAAGCACCGTCCTAGATTCTAGGGCGATGGCAGTGAGCGAGGCAGGCAGGGCTCCTGCCCCAGCGGGTGGCAGGCAGTGCTGAGCACTTGCCTGAAGGAAACCAGAGCTCGAGGGGGAGGGAGCGACACAGGGAGGGACAGCTGCTGTGGGCGTGGAGCCCCTCAGATCCATGATCCTGTGTGCTGAGTGCTGGCGCTGCAGAGGGACTTCTGGCTTTCTCATTTCCTCCTTGAACATTCCCTTATTAAAACTTGAGAGAAAGGATAGTTCATACGTCTTCATTTCTGTGAAGATTTGGTTCTCCTCTTTATGTTCCCCTTTTTAAAAGATCCCAGTCTTTTGTTGGTGTTTGAGTATTTTGACCATTTCCCAGAGAAGCGCGAGCGCTTCCACTGAGGGTCATAACAAAGTCATAGGCTGTGACCCCTTCAGTTTTTAACACTGACTTACAATGGAGAAGTCAGTGTGGAAATGGCCCGCATCTTGTGTGCAAAATTAGTTGACTTAATTCGCCAATTGTTTATTCACCCCCAAGCCTACCCTGGGGTCCAGTCTGGAAGGTGGAGGCAGATCGCGGGGAAGCACAGTTGGGCCTCCCTGCTAAGCACACAGGCTCTTGGAGATGCGGGAGTTTTAGATCCACTCCTCCCATCATGGGTCACAGGGATGCATCAGGCAGGGATTCTGCCCTGAAGGAGATGAATGTCTGATTGAAAAGAAAAAAATAGGGGGTTCCCTCTAAAGGAGAAGCTACAACATTTAAAGAATTAACTGATGTAAAGTAGAAAGTAATAAGTGACTTAAAAGAGATACAAATAAAAAGTTAAGCTAGTTCAGAGGGGGTGGGGTGAAAAATATTTAAACAAAGCCTCGAATAATGTGCCGGGCTTGTGTCTGTGGGCATGAGAATGTGGGAAAGGCGGGGGGGAGGAGATTCCAGGCGCAGAAACCATGTGAGCCACGGCCCAGAGGTGGCATCATTAGTGCCCCCACTTTCCTGACATGGAGTGATGCTCACATATAGACATCCTCTGCTCCCATTCCTGGGAAGGAAGCCACGGTCATCCCGAGTGAGGACGATCTGCTTGTGGAATTGAGATTTGATGTAGAGATTGGCCAAGATTGTCACTTGACCCTCTGCCAGTTTAGATGGGCGTATTAGGACAACTTATTTGGCTTGTACCAGCTGAGGCCTGTGGGCGAGCATTTTCGGACATTGAAATCCTCTCTGCTCCTTCCAGTTTCACCTCTGTGCCAAGTTTTTCCAAGAAAATCCGGTTCCTCCTTCCCCTTTCAGCTCTGCAATCACGATGAAATCTGCAAAGCCAGTCATCAAGCCAAACAACAAGCAGTTACGGACCACAGTGGGGAGCAAGGTACCGAGGGAGTGTCTGAGGGTGAGGGGCCCCGGGCTCAGGCCAGGCCCCCAGGGAGCCGGGTGCTGGGAGGACCCACGTTCCAGGCCTGGATGTGGGCACGAAGCTTCTTCAAATGTAGCATAAACACAAAAGCAAAGGAAAGCAGTAGTTCATCATCATCGAACCTCAACCTCCAGGGCCACATACACCCAAGCAAACTGCACGTTTGCAAAATAACGTGATTTACTCCATTTTCTGCTACATGGGAATGCAGAACAGAGCGGGGTTCAATCACAGTCAGGGGGTGAAACCTTTCACAATGGGCATTTACGCATGAAGGTAACTTCTCCTCTTACCAAGCTGAGGCTCTCTTTTTTTTCTTTTTGGCCTTGACATAAGCATGACATTTCAGCGTGACGTTTGTTGTCTGACTTTGTCTCCTAGTTCCGCAGCTCTCTGTCCTTGCTCATGGAGACCCTCAACGCAACCACGCCCCACTACGTTCGCTGCATCAAGCCAAATGATGAGAAATTACCCTTTGAGTAAGTGTTCTCATGAGACACAGAGGGAAAACACTGAGCAACCAGTGCATCCATTTTGGTGTTGGGGAGTGTGCTTACAATGGTCTTGAACTTGACTCTTTCTGATTCAAAACAATCCTGCCTTTCCTGTACACCAGTAATGTTAGCTCAACCCCTCTGGCTAAGCCACCTCATCTCCAGGAGTAAGTAAAGCAGCTGGATTTGAAAGAATAGTCTACACTTGAAGTTTACGCAACTGAAGAAGCCAGAACATGTTCCTTGATTACAAAAGAACTTGTCTGTGCTTGAAGGAGGAAGGCAGTAGAGGGGTCACAGGTTTCACCCTCCGACATGGCAGGAGACATCAGACTTGTTCTCTGGGGCCCCCAGGGAAGGACTCCAGACCTGGGGATGAGGTTCTGGAGTCCCTCTTAGCAGACTGGGGCTAAGAGGCGTCCGAGGGGATGTGCAGTCCGTGGAGGTGGTGGATGTGTGCGTGGGTCACCAGGGGGTCAGACCTCTGCCAGAGAGCCACCTGCTGGGTGTCTGCTAAAAGGAACTCAAGCATCAAACAGGCACTTGGGCACGTGGACGGGGTCAGCTTGAACATTTCTCCCACCCTGTTGTCATTCGAAGCGCAACCCAATGGCTGTCCCCCGACAGGCCTTCCCCTTGCCACCTGCGGCAGAATCGCTCCCTTCTTTCTCTGCGTCCTCAGCTTCCCAAGCGGTTTCACAGAGCCCCCCTTTTCATTTCACGTTGACAACTGTGTGTTAAATATCTGCTGTGTGAGTGGCCTGTGGGTTACAGAGAGGACCCTGCTTTCTGGGGGCTCCCAGCCTCGGCAGCGCTGCTGCGCCGTTAGTGGGCATTATCGTCGATTACGAGGGCTTCCCGCTTTATAAAATCGTCTTCTTTAAGGTTTGACTCCAAAAGGATTGTTCAGCAGCTGCGAGCCTGTGGTGTTTTGGAAACAATTCGCATCAGTGCACAGAGCTACCCGTCCAGGTACATGGTCGGTCCTTGTTTAGGGGAAAGGTGCCCAACTTCAGGGCTGCGCTGAGACCCGAGCGGGGGCTGCCATGGTTTTTGTCCCATGCTTTCGTAAGATGCTCCCAAGATGTGTCCCACTATGCCATGGGAAGGCCAGAGAGGGTGACACACAGGCAGAGGCAGCCACACCCCGACCCCGTCACCCATCTCAGGTGCTAGTGGAGGTCACCCGCTGCCTCCCAGTGCACCTGGGAAGGGAGCAGGGGTGGGAGCGGGGCACAATTGCTGGAGCGGAGTGTTACCAAAAACAGCCGAACTTGCAGTCGGCTGTGCCCAGCAGATTGGGCCGGTGTCCCAGCAGGGAGGGGGGCCAGAGGTCCGTGCCATCCTCCCCAGAACAGACCACACCCCACCAGCGGTGACAGGTAAGGCCACACAGTCCACAGGCATGACCAGCCCCGACTCTGGCACTTCCCCTTGGATGCGCTTTGACTTTCCAGGTGGACCTATATCGAGTTCTACAGCCGCTACGGTATCCTCATGACCAAGCAGGAGCTTTCGTTCGGCGATAAAAAGGAGGTCTGCAAAGCGGTCTTACACAGGCTCATCCAGGTCTGCCTTGCTCACCTCCTGAGCGCCTTCCCTCACCTTAGCCTCAGCCTCTGGACCATAATTGTTGTGAATGGCTAAGAAGAAAAGAAAATGTGTCCTAAGCATTTGTGTGTGCTAAGGGGGTCAGAGCAGATACACTCATGGGGTGTCATCACCTGACAGCAAGAGCCTCCTTTAGGGACCCAGATTCGAACCCCCAGTGCCCTCCTGTCCTGCTGTGTCTCCCACATTCTAGAGCCTTTCCACAGGCCTAGCCTATGTTACATAGTCAACTAGATGGTCACCAAGCCGGGGGGTTCCAGACTTGGCACTCGGTATGGGTTTAGATTATTGCTGAACCAGTGAGTTATGATAAAAAAAGAGATGGGGAAGGAGCCGCGAAGGTCAGGAAAGGGGTAGTAAAGAGAAGCCAAGATGAGGACAGAGCCCAAGCATTTCCCCGTGCCTGTGCCCCTTTGTGGAAACCACTCACAGGAGCCTGGAGCTCCCCACCGGCCCAGCTGACAATCACTGGGAAGGCACAGCCCTTCCCCCGGCCCAGGCGGGCACCTCCACCTCAGGTCCGTTTCTTCTCCCAAAGTGGCTTTGAACAAACTAGTCAAAATGCACATTTCTAGATCAGGATCAGAGTTTTTCTGCTTTATGTCCAAGAACAGATACATAAAAATATCTATGTTTTTGGCATCTTTGAATCTCTAAACATTTTTCCAAACACTGTAGCAAATCTGAAAAGATTTTGTGTCTGTTTGTATCATTTTTCTCTTCCAGGATTTTAATCAGTACCAGTTCGGTAAAACCAAAATTTTCTTCAGAGCAGGGCAAGTGGCTTATTTGGAGAAACTCCGTTTAGATAAACTGAGGCAGGGTTGTGTTCTGATACAAAAACACGTCCGTGGCTGGCTCCAGAGAAAAAAGTTCCTCCGAAAGAGACAAGCTGCCCTGATAATCCAGCAGTACTTCCGAGGTCAGCACACCGTGAGGTATGTTGGAACCAAGGAAGCCAGGAAGTTGTACCGTTGGCTTTGCTGATCCAGGGGGAGGGACCTGTCAAGAGCAAAGGGCCTTTTTCCTGGGACACGGGGGACAGGTCCCTGAGGTGGCATGAAACTTTAAGATGAGACAGGTGTGTCTCTCAGAAACAGGTAGTGCTGACTCTGCCTGCTGTCCCCGTGTGGGACAGGTGACAGCCAGGACCCAGGAGAGAGGAAGCCCCCATCGGGTGTCTCTGAAGAGAGTCGAAATTCCCGATGAGACCAGGTAGAGAGACGGGGCCCCTAGTCTGTGGGATTGAAAATGGCTCAGAAGACTAGGACCCCAGTGAAGCCCCTGAGTAAAGACTCCATAAATAGCCACTGACCAGCCTGTTGAATGACAGCAGTCAGACCACGCTGGGGGACTCAATGGCAAGGCCCCGCCAGCAAACAGAGCCCTGGGGCAAGGCTAATACGGCGGCCCCTCGGGGCTGGCTGAGTGAGGGCAGTTCCACCAGCCGTGCCCACCCCAGCCCTCCCTGGGTGCTGCCAAAGGCCGTGCTGGGCTGGCCAGTGAGTCAGGCGTTCTTCCCAGAAACCACTGTGTGCTTCTGCGTGTCCACCTGGCTCTTTCCTTGGCGTGCTCTTAGCATAGCTTAGAAGTGTTGTTGAGCCTGACCTCTTCTGAGCTTGAAGCCTGACCTCCAGCAGCATCTGGGCTGCTCCACTGGTTGGCGCACCACAACCTTCACCGTAGCACGCCCCAAGCCGGGCTTGCCATTGCAGCCCCCGCTCCCCGGGCAGCCGCCATCCACACACACGCAGCCCAGCTTGCCCGCTGATGCTTCTACATTCCGTTAATAACAGCAGTCTCCGGGGCAGGAAACCCACAGTCACCTTCTTCGCTAAACTTATGCTCCCCTTCCATGTGGGAATCACGGAGGCCTGACTATTCTATGCACCCTTTCACTTGCCACTTGTGTCTGTCCCATTCATTCCATCCCGCGGGCACCTGCCCTGGACGAGGCCTTCACTATTACCTGCCTTACACCTTAAAGCATATCCCTTCACCTCCCGCCCCTCTCTCTACCTTCCTAAAGGGGGACCTGACTGAGCCAGTGCTCTGCTCCTGCCCTGGAGGCCTCCAGTGGCCCATTTCCTTCAGAAGAGCGTTCAGTCTTCGACATGGTACTCAAGACCCCGTGGCCTAGGTGCATTCATAAGAATGGAAGCTCCGTGAGGACAGGGACCATGATTGTCTGGTTCCCATTACATCCACACCTAGGACCTAGCACAGTGGCTGTCACGTAGTAGGTGTCATATGCATACATACATACATATATAATTTCTTATTATATACATTTTGATAACAAATAGTCCCTATCTAGTCTTCTAACCTCATCGACTACTAATTTTCTCCATATGTCTTATATTCTAGCAATTTTAGGGAAATTCTCTTTTTCTGAATATTTCAGGCACCACTAGGCCTCCATGCCTTCGCTGGTCCCTCAGCACGAAATGCCTTTTCTAACCTTTACTCTTGTGCACAGAAAGCCTTTTCTATCGAGGGCTGGTGCACATGTCAGCGCTTCCCAAGCAGTTCTCTAAGCTCTCTCTTATGGATATTTTAATAGTCATTTTATTTTTCTTGTATTCCACTTGGCCATTTATTGGTCTGCTCCATGAGGTTGTAAATTTTGAAGGTAAGAACTTTGTCTTCTTCTCTAGTCTTTTCAATAGGAGTCAGCAAACTTGTCCTGTAAGAACCAAATACTTTGAGCTTCTGGGACCCTACAGTTTCTTCCACAACTCACCTCTGCTACTGCAGCACGAAATCAGCCATAGGGAACATTGTAAAAAGCAGGCATGGTGTGCGCCAGTAACGCTTGACGGTCACAGAGGGAAAGCTGCAGGTCTGGTGCTGAGGCCATAGTTTGCCAGCCCTTGATGTAGAGCCTTTGGCTCAATTCCCCCCAAGAATGAATGAACAGATGAACGAACAGGTACAATACCACAGCACAGGTTGCTGTCATAGCCTGAGTGCGCCGTGAGTGAGGTGGAGTATTAGTCTGGATATGAGGATTGTGACCTTTCCAGGGTTCCTTGCGCCTGGAGCACATCCCCTTTCAGATCAGGGGGAACGGGGAGATAACCATGGCTGATCTCAAGTAGGCATTACAATAAACCACTTGCAGAGTATAATGTGTGGATTTGCAAAACATTCCACTATTCCTTAGTAAGAAAGAGCCGCACGGCTAGTCGCGCTGTAGAAGTCAGTGCTCGGTGAAGTCAGGGAACAACAGATTGACTCCACATTCTCCTCAACCCAGGAAAGCTGTTACTGCAGCGGCCTTGAAGGAGGCCTGGGCAGCCATCATCATTCAGAAGTACTGCCGCGGATACCTCGTTCGCAGTTTGTACCAACTGATCCGCGTGGCCACCATCACCATCCAGGCCTACACCCGAGGATTCCTGGCAAGGAGGAGGTATCGAAAGGTGCGGCCAAGACCATGTGCTTCCCCAGGGCTCACATTATTTTTCATCAACAGTAAAGGCACAGCTCATTTAATTGCACTTTGCAGAGATCGTGGGTATTTTAAAAATATATAAATTGAAGGTTTGTGGCAACTCTATGTCGAGTAAGTCTATCAGCACCATTTTTCCACCAGGCTCAAACAATGGATAGCATTGTTTAGCAATAAAGTATTTTTAATTGTTATATGCTTTTTTCAGACCTAATGCTTTGCACACTTAATAGACTGCAGTATAATGTAAACATAACTTATATGCACTGGGAAACCCCAGAATTCATGTTACTCGCTTTACTGTGATACTGACGTCAGTGGGGTGGTCTGGAGCTGAACCCACGTTCTCTCTCAGGTGTGCCTGTAGTGAGATCATTTTTTTCACATTGAAGACCTTCCTAGAGAGCAGGAAGTTCTGATATGTGAAAGTTCATACATGTCTGCTACAGGTAGAATTTGGTTATTGTTTCAAAAGTCTATTATAGATCTGTTTCAAAGGTCTACTGTAGATCTTTGTGGGATGGTTACATGAAATTCATATTTTTGCTGTGGGAGTATTTTGGTAGTTGCATCTCCCAACATTGGATGAGTTGATGAGAGAAAAAGTGGAGATCCAGTCTGTATCTCACAAAATCTTGTTTTAAAGATGCTGGAGGAACACAAGGCTGTGATCCTTCAGAAATATGCTCGGGCGTGGCTGGCCAGACGCAGATTCCAGAATATCCGACGGTTTGTGCTCAACATTCAGCTTACTTACAGGGTCCAACGTTTGCAGAAAAAGCTAGAAGATCAGGTAGGTGTTCTTATTGCATCCTTCCTATTTACTTTTTCTAATATGTGTTTTGTTCTGGGCCAGTTCCTTAGCTATGCAGTTAAAATGTATACCCACGTCAGGAGGTTCAGACGGTTTAGCTGGAAAACAGCACATTTTAGAGGCTGCTGCACGTGGTTTAGAGGTTGCCCATGGTGCAGCATGTACGCTGCTCAGGGCAGCTGCCCGGGAGGCCAAGTGGGGCCGAAACCCAGCCTGGTTTGGCTTGCCAACCCCTGTGCACTGGCATGGAGCTGGGCTGCCTTGAGGCAGGGGTGCCTTTTTAATTTGCACAAAGCTTCTGTCTTCATGCCAAGTCGTTGCTCCCTCAGGGATGAATCGGCTCGGAGGAGCTGCCACTTCCTAATTCGCCCAGAGGTTCATATGGCCTAGCTGCAGCCCTGCCTTGTTTGACAAGACTCCGCATGCCATTCCCACTGGTAGGGAAAAAATCCACATATTCCCCACCACTGGGCAAGGGCTGTGGAATGTGCAGCATCCAGATCTATAAAACTCACCCCTGGGCCTGCCTCAGTTTATACTGAGATTCTCCTAAGCTGAACTTGAAATATAGCCTTAAGCTATCCCATAGGGTTTTTTAGTGAATGGGTAAACGTGCAAGCAAAAACACTTGAAATTCTGATGCAACTTCCCCTGATTGCGCTGCTGTGTTATATGGCTTGTGCAGAACAGCAGGAAAAACAGCTGGGAGCAGGGCCCGTGGGAGTCCTGACACCGCCTGAGTTCCATTCTATGGGTATTGGTTTGCTAGCGCTACCATTATAAACTACCACAGACTGGGCAGCTTAAACAACCAACATTTATTTTCTCACAGTTCTGGAGACTGGAAGTCCAAGCTCAAGATATTGGCAGAACTGGTTTCTGCTGAGTTGTCCCCCCTTGGCTTGCAGATAGCGATGTCCTCCCTGCGTCTTCACATTGTCTCCCCTCTGCAGGCCTCTGTGTCCTAATCTCCTCTTCTTATAAAGATACCAGTCATACGGGATTAGGGCCCACCCATATGACCTCATTTTACCTCTACTTTACCTTAAAGACCCTACCTCCAATTCAGTCACGTTCAGTCACATCCTAATTGTGGGTATTAGGACTTCACCATGTGAATTTGGAGGGGCAATGGGGAACACAGTTCAGCCCACAGCACTCGCGTTGTCCTGGTGCTGCAGGATTGGACTGGCTCCACACGGAGAGAGCCGCCACCAGCTCAGGAACACGTTGACCCGACCAGGTCTGTTTCCCACTGGGATGAAGATGCTCATACCCGCCATGATAAGGATGAACGTGATCGGCGTATCTAAACCTCTGGAAGGTTTGCCGTGCTAAAGGTTGTGAGAAGCAGGTAGAACAGCTTCTTTATTTGGGATAAACCCCTAAGCACCTGCTGTTTCTTTTCTCCAGAACAAAGAGAACCACGGGCTGGTAGAGAAGCTGACCAGCCTGGCTGCTGTTCGGGCAGGTGATGTGGAGAAGATTCAGAAACTGGAGTCAGAACTGGACCGAGCAGCCGCCCACAGGCAAAACTACGAAGAGAAGGGGAAGAGGTACAAGGCTGCCGTGGAAGAGGTCTGTGCTGGTTGGGACTAGGGCCGTACCCACACATCTTCCCGTTGAGGAGACCACCGCGCAGCTCTTCCCCACAAAGCCGGCTTCTGCAGAGCAGAGCAGATTTTGCTGCTGGCTTCTGCCATCAGCGGGAGACCCCCTCTCAGAGGAGAGGAGAGCAGAGCCCCAGAGTCTAGGGGAGGAAGAGGAGGTCCAGGCTTTCAGAAAGACAACATAAAGTTTCTCCTCCCTTTCAATTTCTATAAAGTAACAGAAAGCCAAGAAGGAGCCCTGGCCAGATGCTTCCCTCTCTGCCAGGGTGACCTGGGTCCCCTGTTGCTTGCCCGTCTGGTGTGCGCCCTGAACCATCTTACCCAGAGCAGCAGTGCAAAGCCCGAGGCAGGTTTTCATCTCTGTGGTGTAGGCGGAGGAGCAGCAGACAAAAAAAATCCAGTGCCCCAGGTTTAAATCTTCCTTGCTCCTGTCTGCTGGGTGGCCTTGGGAAAGTCACCCTTACCCTCTGTGAACTTTTGTTCCCTCATTTGTAAAAAAGAAATAACAAACAGAGACTTGACAGAGTTGTTGTGAGGATGAAATTGTAAGATGAAATAGGCAAATACCTATCATAAAACGCTGCACATGCATGAGCTCATATTTCCTAAGGAGGTGGTCTTTATTACCGACCGTTCCCCTGCATTTCCCAGACTCCCACAGCACCAGGGTGAGGCAGCCTGGAGTCCCAGGGCACCGCTCTGCTCTCCCCGGGGGCTGGCGCCTGGCTGCTGGCATTGCCCACACGCCGGGGTCACCAGCGTCCATCAGCACCATCTGCTGCCAGCCCAGCAGACGGAGAAGCTGAAAGAGTAGAACTTCTCTCGTGATCACACCTCCTTCCATCTTGAGTCATAACCCTCTCAAAATGTGAATCCACGTTATATCACAAATAATCGATAACATTAAATATATACATACCGTGTTTATTGAGAAGCTCAAAAGAAGGATAGAGATTTCTTGACCTTGAGGAGATCTTGGTCTGGTTCTTTCTCCTTGATTTCAGCCACTGCAGGGTGGGCGCGGGTGTCCGTCCGCTTGAAGTCACGTGGGGCCCTGCAGGCGAAAGTGAATGCGGCGCCCTGCAGGGGGCGGTGCTCGCCAGTACCGTGGGCAGGAACTAGTATATGTGTATTTAAAATATACAGCTTTTCACCAAGAACGATAATGGTAACAAAACTTAAAATGAGGTTTTCAAAAAAGTTCTTTTTCCTCCCCTTTGCTAGAAACTGGCAAAGCTTCAGAAGCATAATTCGGAACTGGAAATACAAAAAGAGCAGATACAGCGGAAGCTTCAGGAGCAGACTGAAGAGCTAAAAGGTAAAGCCCCAGGTGGCCTGGTTCATGCATCCACGTGTCCACTTGGCCGGCCATTCTGGAAATAACTTGACTGTGAACCAAGTTTTAGGCAGAGTCAGGAATCTCCAGTGTATACTTAGTATAACGAGAAACTTTTTGCTCCACAGAGAATAACCGTAAGTAAATTGTGGTAACTTTTTACCCTACAGAGTCATCTGTTTTATTTCCCTCTTTTGTCAGACAGCACAGCGGTCCCCGTCTCAGGCCTCCCTTTGGAAGAGAGCAATGTTTGGGCCATCAGCCCGGAGCCCTTGCATCACCGCGGGAAAGGATGCGTGTGTGCACGGCTGGGCCTGGGGGCGGCCGGGCTAACGTTGGAGTAGTGTTTGTTTGCCAAAGATTTGCAGTCAGATTTTCAAAGTGCCCAAGACCCACTTGGTCTAAGGGGTACCCACGTCCTCTGCCACTGCCCTGGCCTGGAACAAAGGATGCTGCTGAGCTCATGAGCCAGAGGAGCACCAGGCTGTCACAGACACTAGGAACCAATGGTCGTGTCACTTTTATTTAGGGGTGTGAAGCAGCCAACTCTCAGCTTTCCTTTCCAACTTGAATTCTAATCGCAAGCACTTGCCAAACCCCAACAGGCCCTTGAGCCTGGTGGTTCCTGACCAGAGAGTTGAAATCACTTGCCTGTCTTTTCCAGGGATCTTTTTCCTTACACCCTGACATGGGGCATGCGAGGCACAAGGGTTTAGACCTGGGCATCGAGCTCGCCCAGGCCCAGCACAGGGCGGGGATCCAGACCGCAAGAGCCCTGGGGGCTCAGTTCGGAGTGTGGGAGAAGCGCCCGTCAGTAGGAGGAAGTACGCATCCCGAGCCCTGGCCGGGAACACGGGAAAGGCCCTTCAGACGAAGCCAAGCACGGGCGTGATCTCCTGCTCCAGGGTCTGTGTGCCCTCCACCCTGTCCCTAAGGACTGACGGTGAACAGAGGGAGGTCACAGGTCTATGAGTAAACTTTGAACCTGAATTAGTGAAGGCCTTACCGACCATCACCTTGCCTATTGCAATGCACTACACTTGAATGTCTGTTGTTTTTTTTTTCTAACCTTCGGTGGAATTTCCCACAAGAAAATTTAAATCCCCACAAGTGTGTCCTAAAAATGACATATTTGATAGCATTAGCATGTTTGGGTGGATAATTTTACAGCTTCTCCTGAAAAGCATGTGAAACCTCCAGACCCGGTGTTTATAAACTGCTTGTCCTCAGGGCCTCCCTGCGCAGGGCACGCGGTGGTTTGTGAAGAGCCTTCACTCACCCTGCGGCCTGCGCCTCAGGGGTGTTATCAAAGTCATTTTGCCTTTTTGAGATTCCGTCTTGGGCACCATGCTGTTGCTTTTGGGAGAGAGGCACGTTTGAGCAGCCTTGTTTAACCTTTTTGCAAATGGCCCAGGACGTTAAGCACCAGAACTGAAATCTTTGAGTGAATTGAAAATTGAAATTAGAGCCAAAATGCTAGCTTCTAAATTTAACCTGAGGCATCTTCTCTCATATTTTCTGGCTGGCTCATGACATTTTAAAGCAGCCATTTTAATCCAAGGATATTTGACACTGCATTGGACAAAGTATTAAACTGCTGGTTTTGTTTTGTTTGGTTTTGTTTTGTTTTTAACCAAATAGTTTGGATGATTGCTGTTGTCACTTCCCTGGGCTCCCCCCTGGGACAGGACTCGAAGATGAGGCAGAAAGCAAGAATGAGTGTCAGCTGAGTACAAATAGGGACATCAGGTTTTGAAGGGCTGTGTCTGTCCTCCTGCTCCCATTTTGAATGGCACCTGTTGCGTGTGGACATGTTGGGGATGAGGGACTGTCATAGCCAGAGACGGTCCAGGACCCCAGGGACTGTTTCCTAGTTGTCCAGTGTGCCCTTAACCTACACTTTGTGTTGGAGACTCCTGTACTTCAATGAAACAGTATCCTTTTCATACTTCCTCTTCCCTAAATGAAGACCAACACTTCATTGTTTTCTTGATTATCATGAATGACTGGTACTCAGTGAAGAAGCTTTTGTTCCTCTCTGACCCCTAGGGACAATTGGCAATGTCTGGAGACACTTTCAATTGTCACAACTGGGAGCTGCTACTAACATCTACTGGGTAGAAGCCAGGAATGCTGCTCAATCTCCTACAATGCACAGGACAGCCCCCTCTCCATGACAAAGAATTCCCTAGCTTGAAGTATCAATAGTGCTGAGACTGAGAAACCCTATCATAAATTGACCATTTGTTCCCAAAGGGTTGCTATTTACTTTTAATAATAATATTTATTATCTCAAAGCCAATATGCTCAATTTTAATCAAACAAATGATATTCAGGCCAATAAAAATACTATAAATTAAACTAAGTATAGATTCCAACATGACAAATTTGCAAGAGTTATTATTTTGAACCCCCATATTTCTTATTTATAGAAGTGACAGTTACACTCTCATCCTCCTAGTGATAAAGACCCTGTGATCGTTCTTGCATTCTCACTTTCCTAAACAAGATGTGAACCACTCAAGGCACCGGTTCACAGACATATTTCCAAAAGCATTGTCTTTTCACAGGAAAAATGGATGACCTCACCAAGCAGCTCTTTGAAGATGTGCAAAAGGAAGAACGACAACGAATGTATGAAGTCTGGTTTGCCTTACAGCAACTGCTGCTCCCTCTCTCTCTCCCTGCTGTTTTCTAGTTTGCTTCTCAGCTTGCAGATAGCAAATCAGAGAGCAAGGTGTGCATATTTTAGGAAGTGAGAGAACATGGAGACTGTGAGAGCTAAAGCCCACAGTGTGCACCTTTCAGACACTGCACAGGTTCTGCAATTGTGGGAACCGGACCCCTGGGAATTTCTTGCTTTCCCTTAATTGCTAAGGCAGTGAGAAGTTCAGAGACTGCCACTTCTTCCAACTTCCATCAAGTCTAAGAAGTAAGATTATTGCCTAGGAGATAAACCTCCTTCCCTTCCCCCGCCCGTTATATCTGTTAACTTGACTCCTGTCCCAGATAATAAGGGACGTAAAACCCACCACAAAAACTAAGGCAGCTCCCCATGACCTTGTACTATGCCAGCCCTATCTTTTTTATGTCAATATCAAACCCTTTGCTAATCTCCAAAGACTTCAGTTTGGGCTCCTTCTCTTAAGGAATCAACTGGAAGATTTTACGTCTCAAAGGAGGAACGCATGGCAGAGTGTTGGGTAGAAATGGAACATTCTTGGCATGTCTCTGTTGGGAACTAGAATGCTCAGGGGTGCCCGGGGTGGTAGGGTATACGACACCCCCTGACTTTAGGTAGCAGCAGAGCCGGGGTCTGGGTGAGGAGGCAGGGTGCCAAGAAGTTAGGGGAGGGACTGTCACTGGAGAGCTCCAAGGGCTAACAAAGCGCTAAAGTGTCTCCTGATCCTACCTCAGTTTAAAAATAGGGATGTTTGACTCTTTACCTTGAAAAATCTATTTTTCAATGAACTTCTAACTCTAGAAGAGTGGCTCAGTTTTGGGCACCTCACTGTGTCCGGGGGCCACTATGTCCTGGGATCATTTCAAGCGGGCGGCTTAGGGAGCCAGGCTGAGGCCAGGGCATGTGGAGCTCTTTGCAGTTCTCATCAGCGTTCACCTGTAACTCGGTCTGGCCCCGGTCAGTGACGGGGAAGCCGTGGCCACGGTCAGAGATGCCCTTGGGCTGAGAGCGCACACCCAAGTAGTTTAGACAACAAATTTAAGCCTCTTTTTACATATGACTTCTGGCTGCTTTCTGCTTCTTCGAAGGTAGTTTACTGGCCTCTTGGGAGCACTGTAGGTTTTCTTAAAACCTGAAACCAGATTCAAATTTTTCTCAATACCTGTAAAAGGAAATGAAACAAAAACCTGTTGTGAATGTCACTCTCTTCCTCAGGGTTTTTCCCTTTGTGTGGTAAAAGCAAGTTGGTTATAAAATGAGCTGAGTTGACAGCTTAGCAAGTAGAATGATGCTTCATAAACACACAGAGCCCCCAGGACCGCTTCTGTTCTCACCGGGCTCCTGTGGCCGGTCTGGGTTATGTATCTCTCTTTAGTTATTTTCTTGGTCAGTCATCCCATATTTAATTGAGCAACCGTCACACAAGGAATTGGGTTTTCATGAACTTTGGGGTGCCTAAATTTGCTGAAATTTGTTCTAGAATGTGTGAAGAGCTGGACCCTTTGACATATTAAATGACTGTATTAATTTGTTTAGAACCAAACCAAACCCCTCCAGGATCTTTGGAACGTGGCAGGGGCCAGGACTTGACAAAATGTGCCAAGGTCGTTGCTGAAGGAAGCGACCTTGCTAAGAGGGCCACGTGGAACCAAGGTGGCTTTGGGAATACAGTCCCCCAACCACCACTGAGTCATTAAGTTCAACCTCTCTACTCTGTGTTTGCTCTGGTCGGCCATTGCAGGGCCACGTGTCTCAGATCAGAAGCGCGAAGCTTCCGTAGCTTAAGGGGACAGGAAACAGTCAGCTAAAAATATAAGGCCATTGTTTCTTGGAACTGTCACAATAGACCCTAATTAACTTGTCTCCTCCTTTCTGGAGTCTTTTCTTGTTTCCAAAATGGCATATTGTTCTAAATCAGGGTAAAGACTTTAGAGATGGTTCTGAATTGATTAATTTTTTCCTTTTGCTGCCTAGACTTCTTGAAAAAAGTTTTGAATTGAAAGCACAAGACTATGAGAAGCAGATCTGCTCTTTGAAAGAAGAAATTAAAGCACTCAAGGATGAGAAAACGCAGCTACAGCATCAGCTGGAGGAAGAGCGCATCGCTTCTGATGACTTGAAGGGGGAAGTGGCCCGGCTGAGCAAACAGGCGAAGGTAGAAGCCGCTTCTCACTTACAGACGCGCTCTTTGGCTGAGTCGGTTCGCCTGAGCAGAGGGGCAGCTTCACGTTCCCACAGGGTCAGGGAGCTGGACACGTGTGAAGGGCCCTGATTCCTCCACTTCTTCCAAGTAGAAACCCCCAAGCCTCCTTTGATTTAGCAATAATTGCTTTTCGTATTTTCAAGGTCAGCTCTCTAACATTTTTGAAATTACATTTATATAGAGTTACTCAGATATATTGACCAAGAGAATATGTCCAAATTAAATTATAAATTGACATGAACTCTTATGCAATCCATCATGTTGCTATATATCTGTAAGTACCTGTATTAAAATTAAATGACCTTACTGTCAGAATCTTACGTTTTAAACTGTTGTCAGGCAATCCCACCAAAGCAATGACCCGTGGCCCATGCTCGGACACTCAAGGCTTACCTGAAATTCCTTCCCTGCCAGAGTATACAAACCTGTGTGTCTTTATGTTCTGAAGCGCAAAGCATTTCAGTGTAAGGTTGGAAAGTTCTTAAGCTTTCTAAAATATGTGAAAAACATGGTAGAATACTTGTTAAGATTGGCAAGTATCCTCTGTGATTGTCACGGAACAGCCGTGTGTGTGTGGAAGACCGGTAGGACCCACACCTGGGCTGCCTCTGCACTTCCTAGCAGAGCTGCCCGTACGGCCTGGCCCGCAGACTGCGGGATCAGGGAGGACCAAAGATTCCTAGGACGGCTTCCCTCTTCGCAGCCACGTAAGACTGCTGTCTGCCTGCGGGGGTCATGCCATCTGGCAACAGCCTCTATCTTGGGAAACCACGTGGCTGCACTTGGGGTGAGGCACCACACTGTTTGTCACTCACTTCCTCTTTGGTAACTAAAACCGTGGTCCAAACTCTCCCATGGATGGAGATGAATCTTATTTGCAAAGAAAGTAAATCCGTCATATCAAGCTATATGTGTGATAATCCATCTATCAGTAAATGCACTTATGACTCGTAGTAACTGCTGAAACATTACAGAGAGCAGGCTTTCCGATCGGAGAGTCCTGGGCCCCATCAACTTGCCCTGGGACCGGAACATGCCATTTACCCTTTATGCAGCCTCAGTTTTCCAATCTATAAAAGATCACGCTACTCACCTTATGGGCCTGTCACAAGGAAGAGGTTGTGTATGTAAAGTGACCAGTAAATGTCAATTTGACCTGCCTTCTCACCCCCGGTAGAGACAGGAGCTGTAGCCCTTAAACACTTAGACTGAGAAAATACCAGTGAGGGGTAACTCACCTCTGCACAGCTCCCATAGCTCTCAAAGCACAAATCTGAGCTCCATTCTCCAGGTGAGCTCACAAGGTGCATAAAGGCAAAACACAGCTTCCTCCTCACAGCTAGGGCTGCCCCTCGATGCACCCCGGTCAGGCCCCATAGCCACCCCCACCTTCTGGGTGTGCCCTGGCTCTGCCGTGCCGCCACCTCCAAACCTAGCTGGAGCCCATATCTGCACTTACATAGGTGGTGGCCTTGCCCACATCCTTGCATCCAAGATTCCATCATCCGGTGAAAGAGAATTTAGCCCCTTCAATTTTACTTCTCTCTGCTCCCCTTCCTCCCCACCTCACGCAAGTTTATGATAAGTAGTCAGTCATTGTTTCTCTTTAAGTAGGGAAATTAATTCTAATGATACAACCTAGTAGATGTGGGAATAATTAGCAATATTTTGGGCAGTTAATCATGTTTCAAGGTCACGCTGTGTATATGGGCAGTGACGGTTTAACAAGAGTTTAAGAAACTGCAGTGAGGACTCCCTGCATAGATAGATATTCCCTTTGTTTGGTATAAATTACAACAGCCGTTTTTGTTTTGTTTTGTTTCTTCTCCTGGTATGGTCATGGCTGTGGTTCAGACCATCTCTGAGTTTGAAAAAGAGATAGAGCTACTTCAGACACAGAAGATAGATGTGGAAAAACATGTGCAGTCACAAAAGCGGGAAATGAGAGGTAACAAAAATATGAGTCACCGAGCCCATGGGGTACAGACTGCATTTATCATAAGTGTCACTGCTAAGGAAATGTGTCCTTTGACTGGCACGAGGCTGGTTGGTTAGAGGGGTTGGTTAGATATATGGTAAGCTGAATAGCCGGTTGGCTTCACAGCTAGTTGGATGGTTGGATAGCTGGTGGGTTCAATAGCTGATAAGTTCCTTAGCTGATGGGATGGTTAGCTGGAGACTCTGTGAAGCTAGAAAACTGGGCCCTAGAAAGGGAACCGGAGAGGAGAAATCATGCAAGAATGTGATTTATACAGCTCTGCCTTTTCCTCTCAGAAAAGATGTCAGAGATCACCAAACAACTCCTTGAAAGCTATGAGATTGGAGATGTAAGAAGCAGGTAATCATTTTTGTATTATCAAAGATTTAGAAACATGTAACACATGAGAGAGATGATAGCTTTTCTTACCCTCCTTATTTTCCAGGTTGTCTGTGGAAGATCTGGAACATTTAAATGAGGATGGAGAACTTTGGTTTGCTTATGAAGGGCTCAAGAAAGCAACCCGGTAAGAAAGACCCCTCAGGGGTTTTGTTTTAAATTTTTTCAAAGGTGATAAATCATTGGAAAGTCAAAAGGTTATCTTGCATAGATTTGATACACAAAATAAGTTTATTATAGAAAAATGATCTAATAATCACTGGAAATGTTTCTTTGAGAATTAGATAATTAGTAACGAAGAACACTCTCTTTATGGGACAAAATACTGGGTAAAAAACTCTCTTAATGTATACAATAAAAATTGATTCTATCAAATAACTAGCCATGTTACTATAGATGTATAAATGTGTTTAAATTTAAGTAGTTTGCTGCATTTTTTACATTAATAAACTTTATTTTTTAAAGCAGTTTTAGGTTTACAGCAAAATTCAGCAGAAGTTCAAAGAGACCTCCGACCCCCACACATACACAGCCATTATCAACGTCTCCCGCAAAAGGTTACTTTTGTTAAAAGTTCATGAACCTACATTAACACATTATTATCACCAGAGTCCATCATTTATATTAAGGTTCATTGTTGATGTTATATATTCTATCAGTTTTGACAAATGTGCAATGAAATGCATCTTTACCATTGTTGCGTCATACAGAACATACTTTTAAACTATTAGAGTAAAAATGTAATTTTAACAATGTCTAAAAATAACATTTCTTATTAACTGCATGTTACTTCCACACAGTGCTTCCTAACTAGCTTAGAAGGATTTTCTTATTCTATGTTCCTAATTCCATAGCTCGTGACAATGCACACACAAATAAACTATCTGTACTTAGCATACGGCTCTAGCTGTGTGGGTTTTCATATGCGCTCAGTCATCAGCACAGCGGAGTCAAGACCACGTGACTAATCTCTCGGCCCCCTCCTCTACCAGTGTCTTGGAGAGCCATTTCCAGTCCCAGAAGGATTGCTATGAGAAGGAGATTGAAGCTTTGAACTTCAAAGTGGTGCATCTAAGTCAAGAAATAAACCACCTGCAGAAATTATTTAGAGAAGAGAATGACATCAATGAAAGTATTCGTCATGAAGTCACCAGGCTGACATCAGAAAACATGGTATGGTCTCAGCCATGAGCCCTGGTTGTGGCTATTATTCTAGAAATATTATTCGTTAGTGGAGTAAAATTCCATTTCTTGGCAATAAAACAATGGATCAATCCTATGGTCAATGGTATTTTTCTAGTAGTAAAATACTAGAAAATACTACTAGGTATATTTTCTAGTAGTAAAATAATTGGGGCAGAAGGGAAACTATTAAATTATGCCAGGGTAAAGTGCAGTTTGATTTGAGAATGTTTCCCTCCCCCATAGGGTGGGTCCAAATTGTGTATGTGTTTAAGTCTTAAGTTTAAAAAAAAATTTAGCCCTAACTGGGAGAGTGGCCAGGATACATGGAGGGAAAAGGGCACCTCGAGAGGGGCGTACGTTCAGAAGGTCAGTGTCTGCGCTCGCCCTTCTGTGCTGTCTGTTCTTTCCCACTGCACATTTCTCATCCTTTCCTCTAACTCATGCCTACTGGGGAAATGCTTTAGAAATCTCCTTACTCACAGAATATCCCCTTCTTGGCCTCACATCCCCTGGAGCCACCACTCTTTTCTATAGGGGGGCTAACCAGGCTTCTCAATGGTGACCCAACTGTGATTTCTCCATCCACCTCCCACTTACTCTATGGCCTCCCTATTTTGCCATGTGCCCTTCCCACTAGCTGACTCTGTCTACCTCAAGCTGAGCACATAGGGTTCATTTTCACCCTTGTCTTAGCCTCTGGGCAGCATCTGATGACTTGAACACTCCCTTTCCTTCCTTATTGTTCTGGTGACTTCCAGGACACCACCCTCTCCTTGGTTTCTCATCCCACTTCACTGGCTGCCTCTCCTCAGCTTTTTACTGTCTCCTCTTCCTCTGCCTCCCCTGGAACTGCTAGGAAATCTCAGGTCCGTCAGCAGGTGAGGAGATGTGACCCTGGCACAGGGGACATGTGGAACAGTAGTTACGGGCCTTCGTGTCTTTGTGTATTCCTTGGATAAAACTTTCATGAGGAATATGTAGTGAAATCCAATTGCACAATCAAACAAGTATTCTGTTTCTGAACTTCAGAGGCATGGGTGTTTTTATAAACTTGGACAACAAAAGAGCTATTTGTACCTGCCTGAGGGGCAGGTGATGGACATTTAAAAAACTATATAGACGAGGACAAAGGACTGAGAAACATACTGGACGACAGACCTCCACTGACAGAGTGCAGCCTGGAATGCAAAGGGCGCAGTGCGACCCCTTTGAGACAATTTTCCTGTCCCCAGGGGAGGAGGTGATGTCTCTGGGTGTGGACCAAAGAGGCTGGCTGCCATTTCCTCACATCACCCCTCCCTCAGCTCAGCACAGAATTCTCCCCCTCCCCGCCCCGGCAGTACGCACCCTTCTCTCCTGGAGACAGCGGTGATGTGGGGGTTGCGGCTGTCTGAGGACGGCTTCCTCTGAGCGTGCTGGTATTTATTGTGACTATATAGGTCTTGAGGTAAAAAAATCATAATTCCACTCCAGTCTGATGTCTTGGCTGGCCTTCTTACCCAACTTACTAGGTGTACATTCTATGGGGTTAAACACCTAGACAGTTTAGTTTGCTTCTGTCTAGCTCTGAGATCTTAAGTTTCACAGATGAAGTATTTTATATTCTAATATTTCTAATTCTTCTCTTTAGATGATCCCAGACTTTAAACAGCAAATTTCAGAACTGGAGAAACAGAAGCAAGATCTTGAAATCCGCCTGAAAGAACAAACGGAAAACATGAAAGGTAACTGGAATCCTCATGAACCTGCTTTTAGAAAATGGTTTCCTCTCAGCAGGGAATGACAGGAAAGTCATTGTACACAGAGGTCTCACACTCTGATTTTCCATCAGCCTAGGCCCGTGTCATAAATGTGAGAAGTGGGCTGGGTGGAGGCTACAATAAGGTGCATGGGCATTGAAAGGGGGGAGCTGCCTCCAAGTTCTGGTGAGTGTTGCCAAGTAGGAATGCAGGCCCCAGTGTTGCTTTATATGCCTGTTTTTAAAGAGAAGATATTTTTATGTGAAATATCACAATTTTAAAATAATGACTTAAAAATATTGCCCAAGCAAACATTGTTTGGGTCAAACAAAACCTAGTCTCTAGCGGAACACGGCTTAGGACGCCTGGTAACTATAAATAGGACCAAGCCCAAATCAGAATCCATTGATATGGCCCCTGAAGTACTGACAGTTCTTCTCACTGTAGGAAAAGTAGAAGAATTATCTAATCAGTTGAATCACAGTCAAGAAGAAGACGGAATACAACAACGGTAAGTGTTAACATGTATCACCTCAAGTTCATGCTCCTGTCATGCTTTTCTGAAATTGCAGGAAATGCCAAGATATGTTATTAAGCTAAAAAAAACCAGGTGCTAATCAGGTGTATAATATGTAAGCATTCAAATGTGAGGAAAAGAATGCATGTGTACACACATGCATGCACAGCTGTGTGGGAGAATGTACAAAACAAAACAAAAAAAATGTTGTTACCTCCAGGGAACGCAGCTGATGGCTGATGCACAGGGGAGCGGAGGAGACTTATTTTTCACCATGTACATTTTTAAACCCTTAGAATGTTACACCACATGGACATAGAATGTCTGTTCAAAATATTGATTAAAAAGAAAAGATTGTGTGAGAGAAAACATATTTTCTCACAGCAGATCAGTTCGGGTAAGGCTTAAAATCCATGTTGATAGAGAATCTTCACTGATAATTCCCTAGATTTACTATATCCTGACCAGCAGAGCTCCTGGTGCTCTAGAGTAGCCTTGTGAGGAAAATGTTCTGGAGCAGACTTCCAGTCAAGATGGCGGCATAGACAGACATGGCTCGCCTTTCACGTAACAACATCAAAGTTACACCTAAAATATAGAATAACTATCACTCAGGACTGTCAGAAATCGAGTTGAATGGAAGTCTGACAACTAATAAATTAAAGAAACCACATCCATCTAGACTCGTAGGAGAGGTGGAGATACAGAATGGACTGGTCCCACACCCATGTGTGGTGGATAAAAATTTGGGAGGGATATCTAGGGAGCGAAGAGTCCCAGCCCTACACGAGACAACCCAGACCAGGGTCCCAGTGCCAGGAAGATAAGTCCCTACAACTTCTGGCCACAAAAACCAGCAAGGATTGAGTCAGTGGAAGAAACTTCTGGAGCCCCAAGTGGTTCCTCTTAAGGAACCTACACACAGACTCCCCTACTCAGACTCACTCCCTCTGAGCTCCAGCACCAGGATAGCAGTTTGAAAGGGACCAGTAGCATACAGGGAGGAACTGAAGTGCCTGGCATCAAGGCGAGCAGAAGACATTGTCCGTTTTCTAAACCCTCTCCCAACAGAGCCATAGAGCCCTCTAGCTGGTGCCATATCTGAGACTCCATAAACCTGACTAACACTGTTTGATCCACCTTGGAGATCCCCAGAGACTGCCCCACCCTATTTTACAGGTCCACCCAGGCTGCTTTTCCACATGAATAGCTGGTCTTGGCTCATGCTGCACAACATCCTAAATCCTCTCAAACAAGCAGCAGCTGGCCTCCATGAGCCCCAGGCCTGGCACTAGCAGCAGCCATCTTAGATTCATAGTTTGGCTTCACCTGGGAATCCCCAAGCCCAGCACAAGTAGCAGCCATCTCAGATTCCTTTATAGCTCAGGCAGGGTGGCCCCAGGCAAACACAGGTGGGGGGCTGACCTTGGCCAGCACCACCCAGGAAACCCCAGGGCCAGCACACCCAGTGGACAGCTACAGACAATGTTGGAGCACCACCAACCTGCCCCTGCACAGGTGATCCTCCACAGAAGACAGAGGTTGGTGGTCAGTGGTCATAGCCAATCCTTGCAGCTGACTGGCCTGCATAAATCCCTCCCATTGCCTGCCAACAGCAACCAGTGTTCATCTACAAGATGAGGATGTACTCAGCCCATAGGAAGGGCACACCTCACGTACACAGCTTGTGTGATAGGGGAGGCCATGCCACTGGACCCTACAGGACACCTACTACATTAGGCCATACTACCAAGACATGGAGGCAAAGCAGCTCTACCTAATACATAGAAACAAACACAGGGAGGCTGCCAAAATGAGGAGACAAAGAAACATGGCCCACATTGAAAGGACAGATCAAAACTCTAGAGAGCTAAACCAAATGGAGATAAGTAATCTATTGGATGCAGAGTTCAAAACACTGGTTATACAGATGCTCAAGGAACTTAGTGAGGACTTCAACAGCACAAAAAGGATCCAGTCAGAAACAAAGGATACACTAATTGAAATAAAGAACAATATGCAGGGAAACAACAGTAGAGTGGATAAAGCCAAGAACCAAATCAATGATGTGAAACATAAGGAAGAAAAAAACAACCAGTCAGAATAATAAGAAGAAAAAAGAATCCAAAAAAATGAGGATAGTATAAGCAGTCTCTGGGACAACTTCAAGAGGTGCAACATTCACATCATAGGGGTGCCAGAAGGAGAAGAGAAAGAGCAAGAAATTGGAAATCTATTTGAAAAAATAATGAAAGAAAATGTCCTTAATTTGGTGAAGGAAATAGGCACGTAAATCCAGGAAGCACAGAGAGTCTTAATAATGATGAATTCAAAGAGGCCCACTCCAAGACACATCATAATTAAAATTCCAAAGTTTAAAGGTAAAGAAAGGATCTTAAAAGCAAAAGAGGAAAACAGTTAATTACCTACAAGGAAGTTCCCATAAAACTGTCAGCTGATTTCTCAAAAGGAACTTTGCAGGCTAGGAGGGATTAGCAAGACATTCAAAGTCATGAAAAGCAGGGACCTACAGCCAAGATTGCTCTACCCAGCAAAGATATCATTTAGAATCGAAGGGCAGATAAAGAGCTTCCCAGACCAAAAAAAAAAAAAAAAAAAATCCAGAGTCTGTCATTCCCAAACCATTATTATATGAAATGTTAAAGGAACTTACTTAAGAACAGAGACAGAATCATGGATACAGAGAGCATTTTGATGGTTGCCAGATGGGAGGAGGTTGTGGGGAGAATGGGTGAAGAGATGGGGGGGATTAAGAAGTACAAATGGGTAGTCACATAAGAGCCATGGGGATGTAACGTACAGTTCAGGAAATGGAGTGGCCAGAGAACTTACAGGCATGACTCATGGACATGGACAATGGTCGGGGGATTGCCTGAGGGTGTGGGGGTGCTGGGTGGAGGGAGTAAATGGGGAAAAATCAGGACAACTGTAATAGCATAATCAATAAAATATTTTTTAAAAAAGAAAGAAAATGTTCTGTTTTGCCGCCAAGTTGTTGAGATACTCAATTTTCAGAACAATTAATGGACACTGCGTCCCAGAGAGCATTTTTTAGTCATGTGACTTCACGGACAGGATAAGGATGAAATGAGCACCCATTGGGAAAATGATGAGACACCATTTTGGAACTCTCTCTTTTTTTAATTCATTTATTTTTCAATTACTGTTGACATACAATGTTGTATTAGTTTCACGTGCACAACATAGTGCTTAGACATTTATAAACCTTACAAAGTAATCACCCCGATAAGTCTAGTACCCATCTGACAACACACACAGTTATTACAACATTGTCGACTATATTACCTATGCTGTACTTTACTCCCATGACTATTTTGTAATTCTCTTGATGGGCTCCTCTTTTCCTCTGATTCCTGGTTTTTTAATGTCTAATCTCCAGGCTGTTTACAAAGAGATAATCCTCAGGCTTTTGATCATCAGGGCGTGAGTGGGTGCAGATGTCCTGTGGGCGCAGTCAAGGACTGTAGGCGTAGGTGGGGTGGGAACAAGAATCTCTTTCCAAGTTAAGGAGACTGGGGCAGCCCACAGACAGTTTTATACCCCAGCCAACCCTGGTCTCTTTCCACCCACTTTGAGGACTCCCCGCCTCAGATACTACTGTTTTACATATAAATTGGCCAGAGTATTTTTCTATTTTTGGAAATATCAGTGCTTGTTACGGCAATGAGTGGCTCCTCCATGACAGTCAAGCCCATACAGAAGTTTCCTCTCTCATTTTTTCAGGACCAAAGAAGCCCAGAATGAAATGCGCACCAAAGAGAAAGGGAAGCTGATTGATAAGAACCAAGAAATGCAGGAAGCCAGCGAGCACTTGAGACAACTTGAAACTGAAAATGAAGGAGGGAGTCGATTCCGGCAGGAAGTATCTCGTCTCATTATGGAGAACAGGGTGAGACATTTACTCGGGTGTTGATAAATGAGTGCCTTCCTGTGTGCTGATGTCACAGAAAGGGGGACATGCCACCTAAAGCATGCGATACGCACCTGTAGACAGGTGGTCTCTCGGGTTGAGCCCGCTGCCGGTGAGTCTCGGCACTTGCAGGGAAGTGCCTGATAAAGTAAAGGGAGACTCAGCGGAAAGGTGAGGCGGGGCAGGGCCCTCAGCTCTGTCCCGTGGACAGCGCCCATCTGAGATGACTGTGCCCATGTTTTCTCCTGAGCGTATGTCCTTCCTACAAATTTTACAGTCAAAATGTTCTTCTATGAAATGATCATGGTAGTGGATGACAGAATTTAAATCATTAAAGTCTTCCACAAATTGGAAATTCCCTTGTCAAAATGAAATTGGGCAACTCCATGTCAGTCCGCAGCAATTCTTTTGAAATTGTATTGGTGCATGACCTGCGAGACTAAGAAGCAGCAGAGTGGCAGATGGCCTGCTTCCCTGAGAGTTGGAAACTCTGGGGCCCCTCGCTGGCCTGGTGGCCTCTCAGACCGTGACCAGCGCGGTGGGCAGCCTGGGCCTGTCCACAGGGCTCCCCATTTTCTACCTCACAGGAAAACCACAATAGGGTATACTTATATTTTACAGTATCAGGGTTTAACTTTGGAGAGTAATTATATCTAAAAAAGAGGAATCCAGGGAGTTTAGTATTTAACAGGAACTTACAATCCCCAGTCAGGGGCACCTAGATGATGGCCATCCTTTTCAGGGGGGTACAACTTCCCCAGAGAATAGGCTCCTCAAATCATGCCAAATAAACAGCTGTCTATTGAACACATGAGTGAGGCTGTCCTGCCTGCCTGGGGGTCTCTGTGGTCTCAGTTGGGACCAGTGGTAATGTGGGTGGATCATGTGCATGTTGCACGTCTTGTCCTTGTGAACTGCATTCCTTAGCTGTGAGTGTGTCGCTCTGGGGGGGTGTGTCAGTACCTTCATTGTATGGGATTTGTGTGAGTTTGTTCCTGATGCTCCAGGAACAGAGAGATCCCACTCAGGGCCTCTTCTCAGGAGCCCCCGTGCGTGTGGCTCTGTTCCCAGGTGGGGTCTGCCTGGTCCTGCTGCTTCCATGGTGCCACGCTGGGCATCAGTTGTATCTACATGTTCATGCCAACAAACAACTCCTAAACCCATGGGTAGCCTCAGTGTTACAAATAAGCAGATGAATATGCCACAAAGGAATACAATTCCTATAAATTAGGTGGTAGAATTTACCTACAAATGAGGCTTAACTGTATTCATTTCCTAGAGCTACCATAACAAATTACTATAAACTGGGTGGCTTAAAACAATAAAAACTTGTTCTCTCATACTTGTGGAGGCCAGAAGTCCAAATTCAGAATGTTGGCATAGCCACACTTCTCCAGGGTCTCTAGGGGAGAGGACTTCCTTGTCTCTTCCAGCTTCCGGCGACTCCTAGCATCCCTTGGTTTGTGACAGCACAATACCAGCCTCTGCCTGTATCTTCACGTGGCCTCCCCTCTGTGTGTCTCTCGTGTCCTTTACTATCTGGTGTAAGGACAATGTCATTGGGTATAGAGCCCACTCTAATCCAGTGTGATAGCATATTGACCCTTAGTTAAATTACAACAGCAAAGACCCTATTTCCAGATAAGGTCACATTCAGGGGTTCTAAGTGGACATGAATTTTGGGGGAACACTATTTAATCCTATATGTGATCCTTTGAGTCAAAGAAAATCTTATTAAAAAAGAAATAATTTTTAAAAACTTACAGTGATCATCTTACTATTTATCATCAAAGAAATTCCAAAATAAAACTAGGTATTAATCTTGCCTCTCAAATAATCGAGATCGCATGGTGCTGTTAAGACTGTCTTGAAGTGGGCACTGGCATACATGGTTTCTGGGAATATAAATTGCAGTAAGCGTTCTCAGGATGATTTGGAGACAAATGTCATGAACTTTGGGGAGTGCATCCCTTTGACTCAGTAATACATCCTCTAAGATTCTATCCCTGGTAAGCAATCAGATATGTGGTCAAAGATTCTGTGCAGTGTTCATAACAGTATTATTAATCATAACAAATAAGGGGGGAATGGATGCCCAATAAGAGTGGGTAGGTTAAATTATTGTGTACTATATGACATCCATTCAAATGATGGTTTGGTATATTATTAGACCTGAGAAAATGTCTACAATATAATTAGGGGAAAATAGAGGATGTAATTGGTATGATACCAAATATATAAAATATATATGTGCCATGTTAGAAAAAAAGAAAGGAATGAAATGAAATGTGAGCAGTGGTTTCCTCCAGATTATGGATTAATGGGTGACTTTCTTATTATTCGATATAAAAATAGGATGGGCTCAAATTAGAAAGAAGACACTCTGCCCTCACCCCTACTTGAAAGGTGGGAACCGACGCAGGGGAGAGGTGGCCACAGGGTATAAACAGAACAATTTCCCTTTGGCCCAGGAGTCCCCAGAGGACACAGGGCTGCAGTGACCCTGCATGGTGGGCATTGCTGAGCTGGAGAAGCCTGACGCCTTCCTGTGTCACAGCTCTTTGAATTCAGGATCAACCTACACCTTCGATGCCCTTTATAGGAAATATTTATAGAAATCCCGGACCTTCCCGGGTCTGGGGTCCAAATAAGCCTGGGAAGGGCCACCCCTTTTCAGGAGGGAAAGGCAAAGCCAGGACCCCAGTCTCTGAAGAGTTTCTCTGCTTCCAGTGCCTGACATTCAAAGAGCTTCATTTAATTTCGCACACTCATGTTTTTTTAATTCTTTACAATGGGCATTACTTTATCTATTACGGGAAGAATAGACCAAGATAAGTGTGGTATATCCACACAATAGGATATTATTCAGCCACAAAAATGAATAAAGTACTGATACATGCTACAGCATGGATAAACCTTGAAAACATTCTGCTAAATGAAAGAAGCCAGACACAAAGGCTTATCCGGAGGAAAAGTAGAGGAGTGGTTGCCAGGAGCTGGAAGGGAGTGGGGCCCTAGGGGGTGACGGCGAAAAGTTACAGGCTGCTTTTTGATATGAAGAAAATGTTCTGGAATTAAATAATAGTGAGGATTACACACAGACTAAATAAAAACCATTGAGTTGTACAGTAAACTTTAAACCACATGTGAATTGGATATTATGTAAATTATAGCTTAATAAAGCTATTACCAAAAAGTAAATTTAGATGCTTGTAACCTAACATCCTTGTTTCTTTTGATCTCTGTAGGATCTCGAAGAACAGTTAGACATGAAGGACAGAGTGATTAAAAAGCTACAGGATCAAGTCAAGGCTCTCACTAAGACAATTGAAAAAGGTAGGAAAAATAACATTCACTTTCCTATTTCTTGAACTTTCAGCTAAGGTCAACATGTGTTGCCGAAGTGTTATTTTTTAACGTGGCGCCGAGTCTTTGAAACCCAAAGGAATGATTCTCAACTGGTGGGTTTTGAGGCTCAGCGATGGCTGAAGTAAAGAAAGATCCTTCTTCGGGGCAGGCAGATTGCTCACCACCCCTCAGGTAACAGCCACGTCTGTCCTTCCCAATCCCTCGTTGTGCCCCCGTTGTTGGAACTGATGAATGATCTGTCATCTTTACATAAGGACTTCCAAAATCTACTTCCCATTCGTCACCTCTTTTCCAAGTCTCTGCCCCTTTTGCCCCTAAGATTACCTCCTCGGCCTTTCTTTATCACCTCTAACCCAACGTGTCTAAAGCAGAATGTATCAGCTTCCCTTCCAGTATTAGTTATCTACTGTCACATAACAAATGACCCCAAATCTAGCAACGTAAAACAACAAACACTGTGTGTTGTCGCACACAGCTTCTGGGGGTCAAGAATCCAGAAGCAGCCTGGCCCTGTGCTTCTGGCTCTGAGTTGCAGTCTGGTTGTCAACAGGGGCACAGGCATCTGAAGGCTTCGCTGGGGGTGGAGGATCTGCTTCCAAGCCATTCCCATGGCTGCCGGCAGGAAGCCAATGTCTCTTGCGCATGCATAGATGGCATGAGCTTCCAGGGTTCCTGCAAGGAACATGCCCAGATCTACAAGGCATCACACTGGAGGATACCCAAAGTATGGTGCCCTTATCAGATATTTCTGCTTTGTTTATTGTTCTTCCTCGTCCAGATGCAATTTGCCAATCAGAGGTCATTCTTTGTATTGCTTAGTAAAACAGTTGACACTCTATCTTTACCAGTCTCCAAGGGAACAGAGCTAGTAAATTAAAAGAGAAATTCTCAGGCAATAGTAAGAGCGTTCTGTTAACTCTTTATCTGCACTACCTTTTTTTCAATCACCGAAGGCTACTCACTTTTCTTGGCCCAACTGGAATGCCACCTCCTTCAAGAGGCATTTTCAAAAGTTCCAGTTCACCTCTGTGAGAATTTGTATGACCCCTGTTTTCACTTCCTATGGCTTCTGTAACATCACCACAGAATTAGTTACTTAATAGACCACAGATTGGTTTGGCTACAGCTCTGGAAGTCAGAAGTCCAGAATGGTTTTCACTGTGCTGAAATCACACGTCAGCCAGGCAGCCTTCCTTCGGGAACCTTCAGGGGAGAGTCCATTCCCTGGCCTTTTCCAACCCAGACTCTCTAACCTCTGCTTCTGTCATCACACCTCCTTCTCTCAGAATGTCCATGAATCTTTGGGGACCAGAAGGCAGACTGTGGCCCACGCAAAGATGCCCTTGTCCCAATCCCTGGAGCCTGGGGAGATGTTACCTTATGTGGCAAAAGGGATTTTACAGGTGTGATTAAGTTGAGGATCTTGAGATGGGGAGGTTATCCTGGATTATCCATGTGGGCCCAATATAATGAGAGAGACAGGAATGTCAGAGTGAGAAAAGGTGATATGACAACAAGCAGAGGAAGAGGAGATATGACAGAAGCAGAGGTCAGAGTGATGTGGCCACAAGCCAGGGGATGCAGATAGCGTCTAGAGCTGCAAAAGGCAAGTAACAGATTCTCCCCTGTGGCCTCCAGAAGGAACACAGCTCTGCTGACAGTTTGATTTTAGCCCCATAAGGTCTGTTTTAGTGTTCTGGCTTCCAGAGCTGTAAGATTAAATTTTTATCTTATTTTAAGTCACTAAGTTTGTGTTAACCTTGCTACAGCACATAGGACACTAATACAGTCCCCTCAAGGTCATGCAGTTTGGTACATCACATGCCATATGTTTCGTGAATGTTGCTTCCTTAACTATAGCAACAGATCTTGAAGACAGGAGCTACGTCTTGGATCACTTTCAAATCCCTACTGTGCTGGATATGCACCAGGCACTCCTAAGGATTTCTTCAAGGATAACTCAGCCTTCTCAGCAGCAGCTATACTCATGTATATACTAACAGATAAGACTCACTACCAGCCCTGGCTGGTATGGCTCAGTGAGTTGAGTGCGAGCCTGCAAACCAAAGGATCACCAGTTCAATTCCCAGTCAGGGCACATGCCTTGGTCGCAGGCAAGGCGCCCAGTAGGGGGCATGCGACCGGCAACCACACACTGGTGTTTCTCTCCCTCTCTTCCTCCCTTCCCCTCTCTCTAAAAATAAATAAATATCTTTTCTATTTTTTTTTTTTTAAAGAATCACTACCAGAAGAAATTCTTCAGGATTCAATAAAATTTTTATTTATCTGAAAGCCACAGGAGTTCATGTGCAAACCAGGCAAAATCGGGTAGAAGGAGACAGAATAGTCCCATTATAAAGCCTGTGGAAGTTGTTTTTGTGTATTTAACTGATTGTTTACCTGTGTCTACAGCCAGTGACCCGCACCTGTCCTCAGGACCCAAGGAGTACCTCGGGATGCTGGAGTACAAGAGAGAAGACGAGGCCAAGCTCATTCAGAACCTCATTCTTGGTAGTAAAACCTGGAACTCTGAAATTTTGCTTTATCTCTGAGAACTTGAACATCTGTCATTGCCACCATCCTGGGTGGTGGCAGTCTCGCCTCTTCCTTCACTGCTTCTTGCCCTAGCGTAGGGTTTCTCAGCCTCAGCCGTTTTGACCAGATAATTCTTTCTAAGGGCTGCTATACATTATAGGATATCAAGCAGCATCCTTGTCTTCTACCGTTAGAAGCCAGTAGCAACTTCTAGTCATGACAATAAAAAATATCCCCAGACATTGCCAGTTGTCCTCTGGGGTACATTGCCCTCAGCTGAGAAGCACTGCCTAACCTCCACCCAAGTCTAATCAGCAGGCCTGGATAGAAGACACATCTCCACAGATTTGGGTCTCAGCACAGGGTCCATGGTGGCAGGGATTGTGGCGCCTGTGCTCTGACTGACTTCTGCTGAGAAATTTCTTTGCAGGCAATTATGACCGGGGCTCCCTGGCCACAGCTCAGTTACAGGAATGTCCCACGTGCATGCTCAGGTATCGGTGGTCTTAGAACTAATGGGACTAGACTGTCTTCACTGTGAAAACCACATGCCTTTCCAGAGGAAAGTAGAAAAGCTGCCTCTTTATCAACTAGTCCCAGGATCTTGAAGCAGAAAGCCAACGTGTAGCCTTACTCCCTCTTCTTCTGCACGACCCCCTCAGAGCACAGGAGCATTGTGCCCTTTCCTTCCCACCCTCACTGGTGCACAGTTTTGGGGCTTCTTCTTTGTTCCCCAGTTTTCATCAAGCCATGGAGAGGCCTTTGTTTGCTTAATTTATTCTATAAAGCTTCACTCTTCCTCTCGTCCCCACCCGTCTCCCCACCGTTCTCTTCTCCCCAAGGCCAGCGAGGCCCCCGCTGCAGGACTTCCAGATCCAAGGCAGGGGCACATAATCGCTGAGATCACACCGCAGCCTCATCCCAGAGGCTGGGGTCGGAGCTTGGAACTGCGGTTCCTCTCCTACCCTGGAGGTCTGAAATCCAGGGCCTCCATAGGAGGGAGAAGGTACTTTGCAAATGAGGAGTAAGAGGAGCAGGTAGCCCCTGAATATTTTTGCCAAAAGAAAAGCCAAACTGAATTTTCCTCCAAGAGAAAAGACATCCCTATGCATTCAGGCATGGCGCCAAGTACAGAAAAGCAGGCAACCCCTGCCTCGTAGTCAGAGGTTCCTCAGGGGGAGAGCTGACCGCCAGCTGTCATCCTCATTGACTCTTTCTGCTCCAGACCTGAAGCCCCGCGGCGTGGTGGTGAACATGATCCCCGGGCTGCCGGCTCACATCCTGTTCATGTGTGTACGCTACGCAGACTCCCTCAATGACGCCAACATGCTCAAGTCCCTCATGAACAGCATCATTAATGGCATCAAGCAGGTGGTTAAGGTAGGAACTGCCTCTGACATTGGCCCTTGGAATCACAGGCACTTTAGGAACACCTGTGGGAATGACCAGGTGCCCATCCTGCACCTCCAGCCTTTGGTGAACCACATGACTCCTCCAAGCAGTCTGAGGTCCAGCCAGTGAAACAAGCCAAGTTGTTAGGAATAGAGAAGTTAGGTCAGGGATCCCCAAGGGTGGGGATCTGCCAATAGACCTCAAAGCCTTCCCTGTGAGGCTACAACCTGGTAGCTACTGTGCTACTACTTCTGTCCCCTTAGAGTGTCGGAGCCCCAGCCGTGAGGAGTACGTGTCTGTCGATGTACGAAGTGTGAGTGGTGAGGAATGGGAAGGCCTGAAAAATTACTCGTCTATCACTCTCCCTTCTAAAACCACACTATGCACACTGAGTCCCAGCTCACAAACAGAGATGAGCTGCATGTTAGTGAGGAAGCCGTGAAATATAAATCCAATATTTTCATTCCCCTTCCAAATGAGAAACAATGTTTGATGTTGGGATATATTTGAATTTTTAGTTGCGAAAGGCCCGGTCTCACTTTTAGTTAAATATTATGTTCTAGTAGAGTCATGAGTTATTAAATCCTATTTTAAATATCCTAGGAAAAGAGAAAAATAAAAGCAGTGAATGCATGAGAGGTTAGAGTAATTCTTCCCTCCTTCCCAAAAATGTTGTACCAAGAAGTCATCAGGAGTTAAGAGTAGGAAATAAGCATTTGTTCAGTACTGGGTGCTTTATTGTTTTTTGTCTTCGCAGTTGCCACCAGAGTGTTCTGGGAAAGGCCTCCCATAAATTCACGTTTTCCCTATGCATATTTTCACAAAGTGAGCTTTATTAGGACACACTTGTATTGCGTCCCAGGACGCAAGCCCACAGTATTTGCCCTGTCTGCTGGTCTGGAATGTTTAAATATTTAGAAACCAAGATGCAGGACATGAGGAGTATAAATCCTTCCTCACCAGCATCTTCCCTCTCAGCTTCCCCAGCGGCTCCCTGCCCTCCACCATGGTCCGTGCCCAGGACCTGCCCCTTCGGCTCCAGGGCACAGCACGTTAAAGGGACTGACTCTAGGCCTCCCACCCCCAGCCACGGTGCCTTCTCCTCTGGGCCCACCCCCACCCCCACCGCCAAAAGCGCTTGAACCAGTGCTCTCACCAATTCTCTTTCCCACGCCTTGCTATCTGACTTCTGCCCCCGTCACTCCACAAAAGATCACCAGTCGCTCCTCCTGCCGAATCCAACGCCCCTTCCGTAACTGTTACCCTCCTTCAGTGGGCTGACACCATCCCTTTGAAGCCTTTCTACCTCACCTTTCAAATCCCAGGACTGTCCCAGTTTTCCCTTCACCTCTCTGATCACCATCCCTCCGCCTGCTCTGCTTGTTCCTCTTCCTCCTGCCCCATAACAGGGGTGCTCTCCCCGAGAATCCTGGATCCTGACCTCTTGTCTGTCCACCCCTTTCCAGGAGGACCGTCCTCCCGCTTCCGCCCATTTAAGGGGGATTACAATTACGGAAATACCATTGGATTCAGCAAGAGGAGCGACTGGTGATCTTTTTATGGAGTGAGGGGGGCAGAAGTCAGGTTGCAAGGGGTGGGAAAGAGAATTGGTGAGAGCACTGGTTTAAGCGCTTTTGGCAGTGGGGGGTGGGGGTGGGCCCAGAGGAGAAGGCACCGTGGCTAGGGGTGGGGGGCCTAGTGTCGGTCGCTTTAACGTGCTGTGCCCTGGAGCCGAAGGGGCAGGTCCTGGGCACGGACCATGGTGGAGGACAGGGAGCTGCTGGGGAAGCCGAGAGGGAAGATGCTGGTGAGGAAGGATTTACACTCCTCGTGTCCTGCACCTTGGTTTCTAAATATTTAAAAATTCCAGCTGCCCCGGTTTCCCACCGTCTCCCCATCCTCTACGCTTTTGTAGCAAAGTCTACGTCCATTATGTGGGCAATCTGCCACCTAATTACCGTGACCCGTGTGCGTGATGTCCGTCTGCCAGTCGGAGGGGGAACTTCGGGGGGCGAGGACCGAGGCTGGCGTTTCTCGGGCATCCCTGCAGTGCCTGCCTTAAGCTCATAACAAGTGACGTGACCTGTACGGAAAGACTTTGCAAACCATAAACTGCTAAATAAATATAAGGGCTTATCATTATAGTACAAATGTAATAAAGGCTTTCATGAATAAAAGAAGAATTCATGCCACTAACGAAACAGGTAAGATAGGTCTGGTCTTGGCTCAGAGGCACCAGTAATTACCAATTCCACCTTTGTATTTAATTTTTTTTTTTCTTTAAGGAACATTTAGAAGACTTTGAGATGCTGTCCTTTTGGCTTTCCAATACTTGTCATTTCCTCAATTGCCTGAAGCAGTACAGTGGAGAAGAGGTAGGACACTGGCCCGCTCTGTGTTCTGTGCCGGCTGGCCGGTGACCTGCTCACAAGCCAGGGCTCACTCCAGGGGTGGGGAACGGGATCGCCCGGCTCCAGGGACAGCCTCTGCCCCACTGGCTTTCTCTCCTCCTCACCCAGGAGGCCAGCTTCCTGGCGCCAGGTAGACAGAAGTCACAAGCAGAAGACTTCTGAAAGGAACCTAACACACTGGGCGTGGTGCTGAGCCTCTGTTTCCTTGAGTTTTGAATCAATGGGGTAGATTAGATAATCTTTAAGTTTCTTTCTGGTTGTGAAAGTCTGACGTTTTTAGTATTATGCCTAAAATACAGCCTTTAGTTCCACATGGCTGTTTCTTCAGAGATGTTCTCTCGGGTTGTTCCTCCAAAGCCTGTAAATCCTTTGCCATGTGACTCTGCCTCTAAGAGGCTGACGTCAGAAAGGAGCACTCACGGCACCCACGGAGCACAACTTCCGTGACCAAATACCAAAACGGCTGTTAGGGGTTTTACCAAAATAGTTGCAACATTGTACAGTCCCACCAACAGTGAAGTTTCCGGAGTCTCATACCTTCACCAACACTTGATACTGAGAGACATATTATTTACCAATCTCATGGGCATAAACAGTACCTCGTTGACTTAACTTAAAATTACTTGATCACCAGGGAGATCAAGCATCATTTCATATGCTTTTTGGTCATTTGGGTTTCCTTTTAAACTGCCTACTTATATCCATTTTTTATTTTTATTTTCCTATAAATAAATTTTTAAAATCCTTTTATATTTCTTTATAAGATATCTTTATATATTATGGATAGATTGTGGCATGTCTTCTAATTTTCTTTATGGAGTTCTCTGTCATACACAATTTTTGAATTTTTATGTACTTAAATCTATCCTGTCCTTTTATATTATACTTTAACATGTTATGTTATATTTTAAGAAATTCTTCTCTACCCTGAGATCATGAAAATATTCTCTTACTGTCTTCTAAACTCTTACAGTTCAAATTTAGAATTTATAATTATGCTGTTACTTATCCAAAATTGGTATGATTAACTATTCTACATTGATTTGTGAGGTAATGATCCTACACCTTCTTCTACATGGAGAGCCAACTGTCCCAATGGAGAGAAAGTAAAATAAAATATGAAAGTATTCCTACTACTACCATAGAACAAAAGGAGAAATAACTAAAGAAGATCCAAGCTCTGACTGAAAGGAATACCAAAGTGGGGAGGGGGTACAGATCATCCATTTAAGACAAACTGGCATCTATGAGACATTAATGGAAGAGGATGTTATTCAACAGCATTTATATTTGAATCCTATTTTTGCCCTCTTCAGCCATGTATACAATGTTCTTTTCCCTGAGTGTTTTTTCAGTTACTGTACTTTTATTTCTAAAATGTTACTAGCTCTTTTTTACCTCTGCCTTTGAGCATAATGTCCTATTCTTGTCTTTGTTTTCTTTTTCTTTTCTCTCTTTTAACATGTTAAACATATTGTATTAGTCTGCTTGGGCTGCTACATACAAGATACCATAGACTGGGTGGCTTAAACAACAGAAACTTATTTTCTCACAGTTCTAGAGACTGAAGTCCAGATCAAGGCACCAGCAGGCCTGGTTTCTGGAGGGACCTCTTTTCCTGGCTTGCAGACGGCCACTTTCTTGCTGTGTCCTCACATGGCCTTTCCTCTGTGCATGGGGGTGGAAAGCGAGAGACGGAGCTCTGTAGTGTCTCTCATTATAAGGACACTCTTACTAACAGATGAGAGCCCTACCCTTATGACTTCATGTGACCTTAATTACTTTCTTAGAGGCCCCGTCTCTAAATATAGCCTCACTGGAGGTAAGGACTTAAACATGTGAACTGGGGATAAGGGGGAGACATGACCATGCAGTTCATAACCAACATTTTATATTTCAGATTAGTCTGTACTCTGTAATTATAAAGTTAGGAATCTCATTTATCTACTGACCTCTTACAGCACTTGTTTCCTTGGCTCCTTTGCAGTTTTTTCTATGCACTTCCATAGAAGTGACTTTCTGCTGTGGTTTATAGGTTCTGGGGGCACATATTTGATGGAGTAGGCAGTACAGTGACATTAGTTAGTTACAGAAAATAAGTGCTACCCAAAAATCAAGAACTATTTAAAAACAAATCAGGCATTAACTTTTAAAGTGTGGGAATATAGGAGCAGCTGATTATAATACCATTAGTAGAGATAGTATTTTAATTTCCTACATATGTACATTGTTTTAATATTTTATATGCTCAAAATTACTTTCAGGAATTCATGAAACATAACAGTCCACATCAGAATAAGAACTGCTTGAACAACTTTGACCTATCAGAATACAGACAGATTCTCAGTGATGTGGCTATACGAATATACCATCAGTTCATTATCGTAATGGAAAATAACATTCAGCCAATAATAGGTAAGAAAAGAATTGATAACCAAAAATATTTATAGCAACATTGAACCCTTAAGAAATAAATCATGTGTATGGAATGTATGACTACACAGAATATAATTTTAAAACCAAGAAGATTTAGTAGTGTATATGTCTACTTTTTCTTTGCTTGCTTGGAACAATTACACATATAAAAGTACCTGGTTCATAGTTTTCCTTCCGTAGGGTGATGCACCCTGAAGGGAAAACCTTGGGAGAATTGCTGCTACTTATGTGGCTAATCCTGGGTCTTAGCCAAGTATTCTTGAAATCCTATAGTCCCTCTCAAACCTTACACATGCTCTTCAATTTTCTGAAATTTAAATACTTTCAGCTTTCAATGGCTCCAGACCATGAGCTATTGTGCTAACCTGTGCTCTTTCCTGTGATTCTGAAAGAAGAGGTGCTCCAGGTGCACCCCCACCCACTCCCAAAGCCTGGTGCTCCCCAGTCCCTGATTCTCTTGCTTTCTTTGTCACCACCACGTCCACTATTAACTCTAGTAGAAAATGTCACCTCCTGAAACAGATAAGAGCCGTGAGAAGTGCCCTCTGGTTATGCCCACTGTGAGTGCAAAAAAAGTTGCATCTCCCCCGCAGTGCCAGGCATGCTGGAGTACGAGAGCCTGCAGGGCATTTCTGGGCTGAAGCCCACAGGCTTCCGGAAGCGGTCGTCCAGTATAGACGACACAGACGCCTACACGATGGCCTCCGTCCTGCAGCAGCTGAGCTACTTCTACAGCACCATGTGCCAGAATGGCCTGGACCCCGAGCTCGTGAGGCAGGCTGTGAAGCAGCTCTTCTTCCTGATCGGGGCGGTCACCCTGAACAGCCTCCTCCTGCGCAAAGACATGTGCTCCTGCAGAAAAGGGATGCAGATCAGGTAAAACCTGTGAACCAGCTTACTCCAGGGGGGCTACCGGGGAAGAGTGCTCGTAGAGTCCGAGGCCACGCTCCCGGCCCTCCTTCCGCAAGAGCTGCCCTGCTGGGGGGCGGCGTGCAGGCTGTGTGTACAAGATGATTCTTAGAACCTTGGAGATGTCTGCCATCTGATGCCCAGCCCCGCTCCCGCCCCTCTGCACCATGCCCTCTCACTAGTAATTGTATGTAAGTCCACCCCTCTATGGTTCTCATACACTCGACCAGTAATCATTGCCCACCACCTCGGTGAGGAGCACTACCTGGGAGAGAGCAAGAACCCAAAGGAAGGGCAATTTGAGCCCTACCCTCGAGAAGCTCAAAATAGCTAGTAACTCTGGGGAACAATGAGTCAGTCAGGAACAAGTGATACGAAAAGTGCTTCAGAAAAGAGAGATTTTGAAGGACAGAAAAGTTAAAGAAGCCTGAGAGCTGTCTGTTGAGTGATTTTAACAAGGGAGAAGCCCTTCCCAGGCGGGGGAAATGAGGCGAGCAAAGGCCCCAGTGGTGGAGCTGAGTGAGGACCCTCCTCCGGCAGCAGAAGGCACCTCTGTCTGGATTAGGCCGAGGTGTGTTTTGGGAGCAGGTAGAGCAGTGATTGGACCCAGACTGGGAGGGTCTGGAATGCCCCGCTAAGGCATTTGGAATTCACCCTGGAGAATGGTAATCCACAATTTTGAGGTGTGTCGACTTCTTTTTATCTCTAAACTGAGGAAACACAGACCCTGAGCTATTGTTTGAATTAATGCTGTCAAGTAATTAGAAAACACATAATATTGGGTAGACATATGAGATTTTTACAATATGTCCAGGGATTTGATACCTATATGTGATGTGAGAAGCCAGAGTGAGAAGATGGTAATGAGGTCAGGGAAGGGGACAACGGAAGCATATCAGGCCAAGCAATAAACTTGAGGCACCTATTACATCTTTCCACATTAGTGAAACTTGGAGCCAGACATCTGCACAAACCAGGCTGGCCAATTCCCGTGACACCAGGTTATGGTTTTCAGCTGTGAGGGTAGTCAGACGGACTGAGCTTTGTGGGCCTTTTTCTCTTCATTAAGAAATGAAGAGAAACCTACCCTCTGAGGTAGGTTTCCACCCTCATTTAAGTAAAGCCATAAACCTACGTGTGCCACCAGAGCCTTTGCTACTCTCATTCTATCAGTAGGTCCCCCAAGATGTGTGAACATGGGACAGGAGTGACAGTGGACATGAGTAAGACTCGCAGCTCTAGACCTTGTAAACCAGGGGTCGCCAACCCCCAGACTGCGACCTGTTAGGAACTGGGCCACCAGTGAAGCTCACCTGAGCTCTGCCTCTTTCTGCCCCACTCTGTCTTCCACAAAAATGGTCCTGGTGCCAAAAAGGTTGGGGACCACTGCTGTAAATAGCTGCTTTCAGGACATGCAGCACCTGTTCCTGCAGGTGCTCTGTGCTGCTTCCTTTCACTAACTGCAAGTGGCCACCAGAGAAGTGATGCCGTTACAGTGAATTGCTCTGAGTAGCACGTGCATTTTAGAGGCGGCCACTCATTCAGATATTTATTAAGCTCCTGCCGTGAGCAAGGCCCACCAGGATTTGTGCTGGCTTTCCAATGACAACGCAAGCAACACAACAATAAAACATGAACAATAAAACAAGTAGGAGATCAAGACCAAAGAAAAGAAAAAAATTGAAGCAGTGGATAGAGTAGCTTGAAAACCAGCTCTGGGCTTTCTGGCTGCCTGGATGAAAAACAAAACATCACGGGCTCTTTGGTCTCATCGGGTGTGGTGCAGTGGACCAGTTCCAGGAAGAGAGAAAGATTTTCCTAGGCCCTGATTCTTTTTTGCTCCTAGTCATGAGTTACAAAAATAATATATCATATGGAACTTTGTGTTGTTTTCATTTTGGGGCTAAATTAAATGCTATGAACATTTATGGACAATTATTGTGTGAACATGTCCTCTTGAGTACATATCTAGAAGTTGAATTGCTGGGTCATAGGGTAGTTTTTTGTTTAACACCTTAAGGAACTTCCAAACTCTTTTCCTTAGCAGCTACACCAGTTTACATTCCCACTAGCAATGTATGAGCATTCGCAACACTCTCATGTACCAGAGAGGTTGAGTAACTTTCCAAGCACACACAGTAGATTGGTAGGACTAAAACCCATGCCTCATAACTCATAAACCTATGAGAAAGAAAGAGAAACCTACCCTCTGAGGTAGGTTTCAGCCCTATTTCAAAAAGGAGAATTAAAAAGACCCAGTGAACTGAAGGAAAGCCTTATGATCCTTAGAACCATGAATCATGATCCAACCGCCTCATGTGACAAATGAAGAAACTGCCGGACTAGCGTGTTCTGAATGGATTGCCCACTGTTCTCTGCTCCTCTGGCTTTAACTCCAGGTGCAACATCAGTTACTTAGAAGAATGGCTTAAAGATAAGAATTTGCAGAACAGCTTGGCCAAAGAAACTTTGGAACCTCTCTCTCAGGCAGCCTGGTTGCTTCAGGTCAAGAAGACCACAGACAGCGACGCCAAGGAGATCTACGAACGCTGTACCTCACTGTCGGCTGTGCAGGTAATCAGGCTTGCCGAGTGTCTCCCTGATCTTCACCCACAGATCTTATCATCGGTGTCATCTTTTCTGGCCTAGCCAGCCATGGGGTGCACCTGAGTCTCTGTGTGCTTTTGGGGGAGCACAGTATCTCCCATATCCCACCCTCTAATTAACATTTATTAAATAATAACTCAGGCCTTAAAAACACAGAAGTGCATATGACACATTCCTTCCTCACTAAACTTACAGATGTGCGGGGTAGAGGGTGGAGGCTGGACGTGGAGAACTGTCTTACTGCCATCTGATCGTGTTATTTGTCTTTGCTCCCTTCTATGCACTCCTCACCTTGTTTTCTCTTCTTGGGAAGAAAAAATGCATGGTTCCTAGAGCCAAATTACAGTATAAAAGAGCTACCTGTGGTTCCCAGCTGTTCCAAAACCACCAGAACCATTGTTTTTTCTTTTTTCATGCCCTAACACCATCTCCTGTATGGTTTCCAGATCATAAAGATCCTTAATTCCTACACACCTATAGATGACTTCGAGAAAAGAGTGACTCCATCCTTCGTTCGCAAAGTGCAGGTGAGATCCTTAAGAATGTGCCTTTTAATTGTTAGTATGAGAAAGTGATATTTAATTAACACTACAGAAAGCCAGGATTATAGTGCATTCACGAAATATGCACCCCAAAGGCACCCAGAAAAAGCAGCAGGAATTTTCTCTGTCAGATTCCCCGGTTTTCAGAACCCATGTTAGCCCTGTGGGAAGGCAACGCAAACACCAGACATGACTCACATTCTTAGTTCTTCAGCAGGTCTTGTTCTTCTCAGTCTTTGCATGCTATGCAGGCGAGCAGAGGCTGAATGGAAACAGAGGCCTGTGTACCCATTTTCCTTATTTTAATCCCCAAAGTTTCCTACCCAATGAACTAGGGCAGCAGTTCTCAGAGTTTGGTTCCAGGGTCCCTGGGGGTCCTTGAGACCCTGTTGGGAGGTCTGCAAAGTCTTCCTTTTCCAATTACATGTCTGCATGAGACCAATTTTTTTTCTTACACTTCAACCAAAATAATATATTGCAATAGGTTGAATGCAAAAGATCTGAGATTCCACCTATCACATTAAGTCAGACATTAAAAAGGTTTACAAAAATATAAGACAATACTACTTCTCACTAATCTTTTTTGTTTTCAAAATACAGTTTTTTTAATAACACTATATGAACATGTATTGGTTTGCTCTTGTTATTTTAATGAATAAACACATTTTAAGTTATTGCTTTAGTTATTAATATGGTGAATATCAGTAGTTGGACCCATATACACAAAGGCTCTTGGAATCCTTAATAATTTCTAAGAGTATTAATGGGGTCCTAAGACCAACCAAAAAAGTTTGCAAACCATTGAATAAAAAGAAAGATGAGTGCAATAAAAATTTAATGCTTGAGGTCTATTCATATTTGGGCTTCTTATTATGCCATAAGGATAGATAAGAAGAGAAAACAGATCGATTTAGTTGGTCCATCCTGTGGGAAATTGACTTCTGCAGTGAAACAGGGCAAGGGGACACTCACGAGAGCCGATCCGGGAGTCTGGGGTAGACCATTCCACCTTGGAACTGGGCTGGTTTCAAGCTCTTTGGTGTAGTCTCCCCTGATTTTGAAAGGAGTGTCACTAGAGATAGGGTTGTTGTGTTTTCCTTACTCCTAACTTCCAGAGAGCAAGAAAGCAGAACGCACACGTTTCCTCATTCGCGTTTCCTCTGGTTCTAATTTCAGGCTCTCCTAAACAGCCGAGAGGACTCCTCCCAGCTGATGTTGGATACCGGATATCTCTTTCAAGTCATGTTTCCTTTCACCCCTTCTCCCCATGCTCTGGAAATGATCCAGATCCCCAGCAGTTTCAAGCTAGGCTTTCTCAACAGGTTATAGCAGGAAAAAGAGAGAGATGCACTTTTCCCTCAAAAGCTAAATGAAGGTCAAATATGAGGGATGTGGTTTATTAATTGGAACTGGATAACGCTCTCCTATGATTTAAGGAAGAAACTAAGAGTTCTCCCCAATGGGCCACATCTTCTCTCGCTCCCAGTGGTGCCATTCCCACCGACATTCTGTGAAAATTAACGTGCCCCGGCTGCCGCCTTGTCCAGCCTGGGAATCTCAGCTGGCTTTTACTAGAACTCTGGAAGGCTCCTATTTTCTTCCACGTGTCTCTTGGCCTAGATCTATTTTGTGACAGGGCTCCACCCAGAGGGGCATAAGATTGGGGGACACAGTGTCTCCCAAACTTTCTAAGGTTCATGTGAAGCCTGGGTGTGTTTACGAAGCCGCAGTGGAATCCAGGACTGAGCCTTCCAGATAGTGACCCCACTTGGCCCCAGAGCTGCTGGAAGTCCTCACCCTGCCTTTGGTGGGGAGGGGCCAGGGAGGGTGTGGTTCACTGATGCTTTTTACTAAAAATGCTCCTGCATAAAGAAGTATTTATTATTTCGGACCCCCTAATTTTTAAGAGAATATTCAATCTGAAATGAATCATATGAAGTATTTTATGTATTTATCTATTTAAACCAACATGTTATCATTAAAGCTTAATTGACACATGACTTATCATCTCCTCCAAAGCACATTTCTTTAAACTTCGTCTGCCAACATATTTGCCATCATTTTTCATTGTTTAATGTCTTTCACAAAATAACTTTTAAAAACTAAGATTTAAAAGACAATCTAAAATTTAGATTTAATTTCGAAAACCATTTAATGATTTTCTCTATCTTATCAGCATTCAAATATGTTTTAAAATTTCCTCATAAAAATAAATGAAGAATTATATCAGTTTCCTCCTTTTGAGAAGTCTGTGTTTCCCAAGTTTTATGGGAAGTGACTGTTCCCTGTCCCCCCCCACCCCACTCCCGTACCTCGTTCCTTCTTTCAGACCATAAAACGTCATGATAAGCCCTCCTCACCTGGGGCTGGGGCCCTGTGCAACACCCCCAGAATCCCACCCGGCCCCTCTGTTTCTGACAGAGTTGCAGGCAGTAGGTGTGATTCTGTTACACAGACAGCTGTCTTAGAAGTGGAAATAATACACGATTATGAAGCAACATCACCTGCTAATATGTAATAATGTCTTTCCATATTATGAGAAATTTAATTTAGTTCATTTAGACTGTCTATGAAGAAATGAAAAGTAGAACTTTGTACTATTTTAATTGATGAAATAAATTCCCATATGAATTGGGTCACGTTCTTTTCATTGTTAGGAGGTTATATTCTTCTTAAGTACACAAATTTTAATGCCTTTCTTCAAGGATCATACTTAAAGATGCTGGAATCTTTATGGAGTCATAATATCTTACACGACATATGTAAGAATTTCTAAAGAGGAAGTAAACCGGCACTAAGCCCTGGCCCAGGCTGCATCTCAGGGGGCCTCCCAGGCTGCCCCAGAATGAGGCGGCGGGGTTTCTGACCCGCACCAGGGCCTCTCCGTGCCCCTTCCAGACCTTCCCTGTGCCACGTGGAGCCCATCTCCCTCCCTCTCCGGCTCTGTAACTTGGGGCCGAGCCTGTGTTACAGCACTGCCCTCGGCTCTAAGCCAGTAATGGTGCCCGTCTCCGCCGCTGGCCTGTGCAATCCTGGCGAGCCGGTCCACCTCCTAACATCCCTTCATCTGGATGCTGTAGAGTGTGGGAGACGTGCAGGAGCAAAGCCCCACTAGGGTGGCAGGACTGGGGGTGGGGTGTTGTTGGTCAGCCTTGGGGAGGAGTAGATCTTTTTGGGGGGGGGGGGGGACAAGACAAGAGGACCTGCAGAGGCTAAGAAATGTATGCATGGAAAAGGGGAGAGGGGAGCACTCACCCCACAGGCTCGATCAATTCTTCAAGGCTGAAGAGGGGAGCGGTGGCCCAAAGTAATGAGGTGCTGGTAGGAGGAGGACTGGGGGCGGGGGGCGGCGAGGGGGCTGCTGATAACATCCAGTCACGGGTGAACGTCCGGGCTACTCCATGGAGCAGGTTGCAGATTCACGGGGTCAAACCTGTGAACTCAGCCTCCTCAGAGAGCAGAGGACTAGCCCAAAAAACTGGTCCATGGGGGTTCTGAGGGCACCTGGCAGCGTGACTGGGCAAAGGGCTCAAGGGGCGAGTACGTGATGCAAATGGCAGCGAGGACCCCAGCAGGGAACGCGGGTCTCTGTGGGAAGGACTGAAGCAGCTCCGTAAAGCCCAGATAAGGAGATTAGTTGTGTTGCAGTCCCCGTTGCGCCTTCCGGCCGGTGGCTCTAACTTCTCACCTGTCTGCTGATCAGTTCCGAGTGTTAACTCCCTGGAAGGTATGTATGCGTTAACATTAAATTAGACTATTCCTTGAGAGCTCAGGAAAGTGTTCAGATACGTACGTAGCAAGGTGTTAACTGTGGTCTTTCTGTGCGGTGGGAGCACAGGTGAGGGCTGGTGGTGTTTGCTCTAATTTTTCTGCAATTCACATGCACTCCTTTTGAAATAATATGTTTTGTTTTTAAAATACATTTAGTATTGGCATCAGGGAAAAAGTTAATTGTCTTTAAAATCATTTAATCAGTTTTTAAAATTTATCCAGGTGACACTCTGCATGTCAATAGAAGCCTCAGAACACAGTGTATGGAACTGAAAGAGGTTTTTGACACTAAACATTAGTCATAGTAAGTTTGAGATAACCCACATTGTCATATGTATCAATAGTTTATTCCTTTTTATTGTATGACTATACAATAAATTATTTATCTTGTTTACTATTGAACATTTGGGTTTTTTTCATTTTGGAGCTATTATTAATAAAGCACTATGGCATTCTTAATCATTTTTTTGTTTGTTTGTTTTGTTTTGCTTTACCAATATATACTCCCAACAGCAAGGAAAGAGGCCCAGTTCTCCACGTCCTTGCCCCCACTTCAGATTGTTAGCATTTTTCATTTTGGGTACTTACTAGTGGGTAAGTAGTGATATCACAGTGTGATTTTTAACTCACTTTTCTTTGATGGCTGATGTTGTTGAGGTTTTTTCAATATGTTTATTGATCATGTGGATAGCTGCATTTGTGAAATGTTTATTCAAGTCTTTTGCACTTTTAAGTAATAATTTTTATTGAGATATAATGCACATAACAAATAACTCACCATCTAATTCTAGAGCATTTCCATCACCCCAAAAAGGAACCTCATACCATTAAGCAGTCACTCCTGACCCCCTCACCGCACCTCCCCAACAACCTCTAATCTACTTACTTTCTCTGTGGATTTGCCTATCTTGGACATTTCATATAAATGGGAACATAATTTGTGGCCTTTGCTGTCTGGCTTATTTAACTTCATGTTGTCAGGGTTCGTCCATGTTGTAGCACATTTCAGAACTTTATTCTTTTTTATTGCCAAATAACATTCTACTGTATGGATATAACACATTTTGTTTATCCATTGGTTGATAGACATTTGAATTATTTCCACTTTTTGGCTTAAATGGTGCTACAAACATTCACATACAAATTTTTATGTGTATATATGCTTTCAGTTACCTTGGGTATATACCTAGGAGTGAATTTACTAGTTCATATGATAACAACCCTGTTTTACTTTCTGAGTAACTGCCAACCCTTTTTCCAAAGTGACCACACCTTTTTGCATTCCTACCAGCAAAGTATGAGGGTTCATATGCCAATTTTTAATTTGGTCAATGAAGCATTATTTTGAAAGTAAAAGCTGGAGGTACCCTATATATAATCCAACGATAGGAGATAAGTTTAATAAATCATGATACTCCATAGTATAGAATAATACTAAAGTTATTACCAGAAAAACAGATAGATCTAAAGAACTAACAGAATGAGTTAGGTGAAAAACAACAAGCAGCTAACAGCCCCGTCTCTAAGGTGTCAGAAAAGTCCAGAAGAATCTGCACCAATCTAAATGAGGGGCGTCAATGCGGGGCAGGTACTGGGGACTTTCACTTTTGACTTTCTATCTTTGGCATTAGCCTTTTTTTAAAATGCTGGGTTTGGGGTAATTTTTAAATTATATATTTAAGTGAAACATTTCCAAGAAATTTTGTGGTTGGCGTGGGGTTAGGGGAAGATTTGAGAAGGTCTACAAACTCTCTCTGCAGAGCAACTTCACATCAAAACTTGTTAAAATGGGGCATTTTTTTCTTTTTCTTGTCCAAATGCTCATTGAAATATTTGTGCTAGCTGTGGAAAGTTCCCTCATCATAAAAAGGATTATCAACAATGTGTACAATAGAGGATACTAAAATTAAATTTAGCTTATGATATAAATACTAAATGAAAAACATTAGGATATAAAAATATAAACAGTTTACATGAAAAAATTGTCCTAAAAATCCAGTCTTGCATACACCAAAATGTAAAAAGAAGTCTCTCTGGGCAGCGGGATTATGCTTTTCTTCCTTACACCTTTTTGATTTTTTCAAACTTTCTACAATAACCATGTATAACATTTATGGTTTTAAAATACTATAATCTTTCAAATTTGATTTGTATCTTGCCCATGTTTAACCAACCAAAGCTACAATACTACTTGTGTGGTTCAATTTGACTGATATGACTCAAGACTTGTGGTCTCCATCAAAATACGGTGTCAATATGCAATGACATACGCAGACAAAAACACTATTAAACAAAAAAAAACTAATGTCGAAAATTATATATAGCATATAATTCTAATTTTTAAAAAGCTATACACATATACGATTATGAAGGTACTAGAAGAAAACAAAATACTAACAAAGGTCAATTATTTGTTTGCATAGAGCATGTGGGTGATTAATTTTCCTTCTTCATGCTCTTCTGTTTCCATTATTTATAATGAACATAGGCAGCTCTTATCATTTGAAAAAAAAATCAGTTTGGGAAGGAAAACATTGTCTCTCTCCAGATTTGGAACAATTGACAATTTTTTCTAGTTCTCTTCTATAACTCCTAGCCGTCCTTCTGTTCCTTCTCCACTTGGTTCCTCTGGACTTTCATTCCTGCAGTTGCTACTGTCCAGACCTCATTTCCTCTTCCCCAGAACGTGATACAATCTCTGGACCTAGTTGATTTTCCCACTGTACATTCTCTCTCTGACCTATTTCTGGAAACACAAATGCTGGAATAATCCACTTAAATAACAGGGCTCCCTTGCTGAAAAACCTATGGCTTACCTTCCTAATGCTGTTACTTGGAGTCCACAGGAAAACCTTGTGACTGGCCACCTGGGCAGGTGCGGGGGCAACAGTACCAGGCCCCCGCCCCCCACAGGCCCCGCTCTGGTGGGCAGGCCGGTGGCATTCTTGAACTCACTTGTGACAAAGGAGAGCGCCTTGACAGCACTGGCTCAACGGTGAGCGCTGGGGAGGCCCACTGCGTCCAGATTCAGGCTCCACCACGGACTTTGAACTCATTTCGTCCCTCAGCCTTTCCTCAGCTGTAACAGCACAGACGTCCTGCCTCTCTTCCAGGGTCACTAGGAGGGGTCAGGGCCACGCACGCTGTGGTGGTCAGAAGCTGGTACCCTTCCGATCTCTCATCCTTAAGGGACAGTCCTCTACTCCTTTGTTACTTAGCGATCCCAAGAACTATGCCAGCCACCCTTTTGCTGTAGGAGCTCCTCTCTCTCCAGCCCCATTGTGACCTCCACTTGATGGACATTCTCCTCAGAGGTATCCCCACTGCCACCTGCCCCGCAAATGCATCCCTTGCAAATTCAGCTCTGTTAAAATGTTCAGACCAGTGCCTCAAAGTATCTGGAGACTCAAGGGGTCATGTCTTCGAACGCTGACGCAGCCTGCTCTTTGG